TCTGCCAACAGTCTCCTTTGTATGCGATCATCCTCAATGCCACACACAAGCCTATCGCGCAGCATCTCCTTCAGCTTATCTCCGTAATTGCAATGTTGCGCCAGCTCTCAGCACAGCCATATACTCCACCACAGTCTCATTTGCCGCTCTAGTCCTTGAATTAAAGTTAAATCTCTGGACTGTTTCAATGAGCTTTGGATTGTAATGCAACTGAAGTAAACCAGTCAAATCTGTGAATGACTTAGCACCTGGATTCTTTGGGCTTATCAAGTTCCTCATTACTATATGTCTGCCTACTGAGCTCAGTAAAATCACCCTCATCTTATTTGCCTCAAAGAAGTGCTCCAAAACTTCACAATATTCCTCCCAAGTCTGTGTCAGACTGTCAAACTCCATCAGTGTTCCCACCATGGAAGTAGCCATCCCGCTATTAGCGCCAGCTTCCTCGCCCTCCGACATTAGCTGAGAATCTGTTTTGTAGAACTTTCAAGCTGTTTTCGGCACTAACGGCGTCTTCCAAGCTCACCAGTTTCCTCGTCGCCAAATGTAATATCCTTGTTAAAGAAGAATGAGCGGACAACAGATTGTAGATAACATCTTTTTACTGATTGTTACCCAACTAGATTCAACAGTACACAGGAACAACTGACACTCCCCAAACCTCGAGTCTATGCTGCCACCTACAGGTCAACTCATGATATAACACTTATCTACTACATTAACATGAACTAAAGTTTAAAAAAAAAAAAAAAAAAAGACAACCCTCTTCCTAGCCTTTCTGTAGTGAAATTTGAAAAGACACTGCTCAGGTTTAACTGCGTACCCAGCTTCAAAACATTTCAGGCATCAATTGGATAGTGTAGAATTACAATAGATTTTTGATTTGGACAAGAATGGAATGAGTTTAATGACAGCAACACATCTTGTGTGTGGAGATTCTCTGAACTCTATAATAAACACAACATTATTACAAAATCTCTATTAGGTAATGCATCAACTGGGTACCACTCCCCACAGACTCCAGTATAAAATCAGCATTACCCAGTTGATATTGGTGAGATTTTAGATGTGATTGTTTTTAGGAATCTGAAGCAAATACATTCATTTTTCTTGCTTTTTCCAAAGTGTAGATTATTAGATATTATCAAACACAATACTCATAACAGACAGCAAAGTGTCAACTATTTTCCATATAATTTGGATCATTCTGGGACATAATTCCTTACATACTTGGTAATATTGCATAAATAATGACAGGGCATCACTCAAATAAGGCCCTTTACCCATTTCACCTAATGGATCATTAAACAGCTCAGAATTCCCTATTTTAAATCCATTACCAAAAAACACTAGTGCCAAAAGGACAAAGTAACTTCAAACTAATGTAGTTTCAATTTAAACACTTTAAAACATGAATAATTGAAAAGTAACAGATTAATGTTGGCCAAATAATTCTTTATATCCCCTTGGGGGTCAATTTTTTATCACTAATTATAAACTCCCCCATATGCCACTGCAACAGAAGCTCCTCGTCAGAGCAGCTGCTAGTTCTGCATCACTGCATTCTATCAAACCTGTAGCATTAGTCAAACTTAGTTGGCTTTGTCTGATTGCTGAGTATTGGCCCAGAGCAGGTCTTCTCGGAGCACAGACAGTATAGACTGGATTGAGTGCAAAAGTTGGCTTGTTGGCATTTGTATATTTAAAAAAAAAATTTTTTACCAAATAAAGTTTGGAATATGATTAGGCTACTGAAGGAATCTATATTTACATTTCAATAAAGAATATTCTAAAACAGAATAGTCCATTTAACAATATTTTAATAGTTGAAAAGCCCAAACTTCCTGATGAAGATGATCAGCCGGAAAAATTTTTGAAAAATTTCTAAAATCACCAAATGAAAGAATCTCAAATTTTAGCTCAATCCCTTCAGTCGTTCCTGAGTTAGGGCCCATTGAAATTTTGGGGCCTTGCTCACTTTAGCCTTAATTTATAAACATGTTCGAGAGACCAAAACTTCATAAAAATAGCGCTAGGAAGCTGAAAATGTATATTATTGTTGATTCTTGGTCATAGATTCTAAATCTGTTGTCAAATATTGTGTATCTTTATTAAGGGCGGTGCTGTGGGCCCCCAAAATCTCACATTTGGTTGCTACTCAATTTTTTTTTCAATTTTTGAGGTCCAAGATCTATTTACTCCAAGCAGATATTTACAAACTAACTGTTGAACCTAAATATTTGAGAGAATGATCATTTCTGACACAAATCTCACACTTTTCTGAGCTTTCATGTGGATGGTGCAGAGTCTCAAATCTGATCTTTTTGGCCCCTTCTTTGGAGCCTCAGTTCCCCACGTGGGCAGAGTTAGATGTTGATCAAATTTTTACCAGAGAAACTTTGGCATATTCTCATTAAAGTAATAAAAACATCTACTATTAACTTCCTTCATTTCAAATGGAATTTTTTAAAATGAATTCTCACGGGTCATTTTTGGTGGAGTTTAGGCACTTTTTCACCTGCTGGCAAGGTTCAGTTACCTTAAATAGACTCAAGAACTATTTGCTTGTTATAAGGGAAAACAATTGGAGATTATTTGTGGTACATTGTTTGGAAAAATGTCATTAATCTTTTGAGAAATTTCAACTTTTAACTTCGTACAAAATGATGAAAAAAGGTTTGTTTGTATTACCATATTTTCTGGGCTATTAGATGCGCTCTTAAGCCTCCAACCCCATTAAAAAACGACTGCGCGCCCCACAATCCAGAGCGCCTTATACACGAATCCACTTGGGTGTCCCAGCACGACTTCAGTAAACTACAAAGCCGCACCACCCGCAGCGCACACAAACACACGGAGCAGACAGCAATCACGCAGCGAAAAACACCCACAGACACACTCATCACTCCACGCTGACGACGAACGGAACGGAGGAACGAACCAAAAAAGCGAGTGCAACGTACCATTTCTAGACACAACTGAACAACTGAGTCACTGTGAACACGCCGACAATCCAGCGGTCCCAGACAGCACCCTCCCTACACGCCACAACTGAACAAAGCCCAGAGTCACCGTGAACGCAACAAAGAAAGTCCCACTGAGCCATCACACTGTTGTGTTTCGTTTAAAGTCCGGTGCGGTTTATTTGTGAAAAAAGTTGGAAAATAGACCATTTAATGACAGCACACCTTATAATCCAGAGCGACTAATAGCCTGGAAAATACAGTATATATTTTTATTTGAGGAAGATAATTTGTTATCTCACACAGAAACAGCTTTTCATGATGTATAAGTAAAGCAACAAAAGTTAAGATAGTATTCATGGAAACTGATTAAAAGGAAAATTACAATTGGAATACTCCCTGCCTGTTAAATCACAAAGTCTCTGGTTCTATAACCATGTCTTTCAGTATCACCATATGTGTTTTATTTTTGCACAAAAACATTATAAGAAGGCAGTAACATTAACAAGGAAAAAATTGATACAGATGCAAAAGTTGCCAAAATACAATAATCTGGTCTGTTTTTTGTTCAACTGATAGAAATTACATTTAAAAAATTCAGTGTGAAAAAAACCTCAGCGGAAAATACCAACATACTGGAAAAATCTGCTCATTCTGGTCCCTTTGCCACCTGCATGTAGATCATGTGTATTTGTATCTTGCACACTAAGTGTTCCTAACTATTAATGAACTTCAGAAATCATGTTTGGATCCTGTCATAATCTGCAGTGTCAAGGCGATAATTTCCTGCTCTTCTTCTCTGAACTTCTGGTACTTTAATACAACAGATTCTGTTCTGAAATGGGACCCAACATGGTTCTGTGGATGTTCAGGAGGACACATGAGGGTTCTGTCGTCTCCATTCATGAATCTCACATAGACATCACCATGTTCAAATGAAAATGAAATATTCCCAATGAACCTGATGTCATAAATACATGCAACTTTTCATTCTTTATGTTTTGTGAAGCCCACTCAAATGTCTGGAGTGAGGTCAATATTTGATTGTTGTCAGTTGTCTGAAGACTGGTCCTTGCAGCCGAATGTTTTACTGTGCCACCAAAACCATCACAAACAATGAACCACAAATAATCTCCAACTGTTTTCCCTTATAACAAGCAAATAGTGTTTAAGTCTATTAAAGGTAATAGAACATTTCTAGCAGGTGGAAAAGTGCCTAAACTCCACCAAAAATGACCCATGAGAACCATGAAATGAAGGAAGTTAATAGCAGATGTTTTTATTACTTTAAACTAATCAGAATCTGCCAAAGTTTCTCTGGTAAAAATTTGATCATCATCTAACTGTGCCACAGGGGGAACCGAGGCTCCAAAGAAGGGGCCAAAAAGATCACATTTGGTCTGTGACCAGATTTGGGACTCTACACCATCCACATGAAAGCTCAGAAAAGTGTGAGATTTGTGTCAGAAATGGTCATTCTCTCAAATATTCAGGTTCAGTAGTTAGTTTGTAAATATCTGCTTGGAGTAAATAGACTTTGGACCTCAAAAATAAAAATAAAAATGTTTTTTTGCTGCAACCAAATGTGAGATTTTGGTGGCCCACATTGTCCCCCTTAATAAGAAATCCCAATATTAACAAATTCAGAATCTATGACCAAGAATCTACAATAATACACATTTTCAGCTTCCTAGCTCTATTTTCTATGAAGTTCTGGTCTCTCAAACATGTTTATAAATGAAGGTGTCCCAAAAAGTGAGCATGGCCCCAAAATTTCAACAGGCCATAACTCAGGAATGACTCAAGGGATTGAGCTAAAATTTGAGATTCTTTCATTTGGTGATTTTAGAAATTAAAAAAAAAAAATTCAGCCAAATCTGAGATGGCTCATAGGGGAGGGCGGCTGATTTCATATGGACTGACCCATCACCCACTGCCCATGTAAACGTTGTTTTAAGTGCTTATAATTAGAATTTATTTAAATGACAAAGACTGGTTGAGAGTGTTTGGTCTTACTGTGTTTGCTGTTTGTTGCAGGGTTGATGGAGCCTGAGAGAAAGTACACACTAGGCATCGTGCTGTGCATCGTGCTGGCTCTCACCTACTTACTGTTCATTTCAAATGTGGAGCAGAGTCAGGGCAACCAATTCTTCCAGCCAGCATTTAAAAAGGCCCCGTCTCTGGCTCAATCCCTGGCCCTGTCCCATCCACCCGAACCTTCCTGGGAAGAACCAGGGCCGTACTACGTGGCCTACCCACGGAACTACCGCTTCATCTTGGAGGACACTGTGGTTTGCAAGGAGTCCTCTCCCTTTGTCCTGCTGGTGGTCCCTGTGGCACCCACAGATGTCAAGGCCAGGTACTGTGACTCCATGTGCAACTTTAAACTAGAGAACTACATATTATGCTAGTATTGGGTCCATAGACTGTTTATATAAATGAACATAGCTAACGTGTTACAAATGGAAAGTTCTAATGCAGCTGTTCCAGCTCCTTCGGACCCTGGCTCCCATTGACTTACACTGGAATATTGCTGCCCCTCTCTCTGTAACTGCTGCTGTGAGCCTCGTCATTTTGGTCTTAAAATGTTCATATTAACCCACTTTACATGATCCTAGGTTTTGCTTCTGCAATTTTGTCTGTTAAAAAATTCCTATTCCTAATGTAGAGCCTGGCTCCAAATTTAACAGGTCATGAGCTTCATTTGAGTGGAGTTCAACGCGGTGGGTGATGTCACATTCGCTTTGTTCTCTTCTTTATACAGTCTATGATTTTGTCACAGTTTCTCTACAGTATGAACGGCCTCCGGTGGTTTAAAAATGCATTTTAGTCTGTAGAGATGTAAACTGAAAGAAATTGTTGGTCGACTAAAAACATGCCCTGCCGAATAGTCAACGTTTAGTTAGTTAGTTTAGTTATTTAAAAGGGGTGTAGCAAACTCTCAAAAGTATTGCATATCTTTATATCTGACCCAAACTGCACTCACAAGACTACACCTGCACGGGGGTTCATGCAAAAAATACTTTTTAGGCATTCATTTATGCGTTAATATGTAAAAAATGCTTACTGAACTTACTCCCTTCTGCTCTTGTGCCGTATAAATCCTTATAATTTAAATAAAATAGTTGGGAAAATAAAAACTTTGTCGATTTAGACTCTCATTGACTGATTAATTGACAGCCCTGGTAAGCCTGTAAAAACCTTTAACATCTGCCAGAAGCTCCTGCTGTTGGTCTACCAGACAGTCATCTCCAGTGTCCTCTTCAACACTATGGTCAGAAGAGAGGCATTGTGCAGTTGGATAAGCTGGTGAGGAAGGCAGGATCTGTAGTGGAGCAGAGCTTAACTTATTCACATCTGAGGCTGAGAAGAGGGCCCTAAACAAACTCCTGTCCATACAATACTGGAAAACCCCCAGCACCCCCTGCACAGCACCATCTCTCTGGACATGAGAGCACCTTTGGGGACAAGCTGTTGTCCCTGTCCTGCTCCATGGACACACTCTGGAAGTCATTTCTCCCACACACCATACCGTACTATGCATCCCTGTAGCTGATGAATACAAGCAGATTATGTTTGTTTCACTGTTGCTGCTGCTTATGTTTTAAATTTCCTTTGGGCTCAATAAAGTATTTACCAATGTATTTATATATGGCAAGCCTGAAAACTCTTTAAGAATGAAGGTATCACATTTATTAAATTATCTTTGGTATTCCTTTAAGATGTGTATGCTTAAATGTTATTAAATGTCATTAATTTGAATGAATAATGGACATGTACAGACGACCTGCTCATATGAGATGTTTGCTGCTTTTGAACAGCGTGGAATGTCAAAACTGTCAGTATAAAATAGAGAATTTATGAGAGACAAAAGCCTACTCATGAATACAGACGTGCTCAAACTTGTTGGTACCCTCTGGTAATGAAAGAAAATTCAACAATGGTCACTGAAATAACTTGAAACTGAGAAAAGCAATGATAAATAAAATTTTACTGAAAAATAATCAAAGAAAATCAGACACTGTTTTTGAATGATTGTTCAAGAGAATAATCATTTATTTAATTTAAAAAAACAAACTAATGAAACTGGCCTGGACAAAAATGATGGTTCCCCTAGAAAAGATTGTAAGTAACTGGACAATAGGGACATGTTAAACTTAGGCGTGTCTCTAATCTGCATCACAGGTTCTTCAAACTTGTCCTCAGTCTGTCTGTCTGTTTAAAGGGGACAGAACAACCCAGAACAACCTCCAAACAAATTAAATGTGAAGTGGAAGGGCAAAGTACATCAGTGTCAGATCACACCATCCATCAGTGTTTGAGCCAAAGTGGACTTCATGTGAGGACACCACTGCTGAGAGCAAATCATAAAAAAATGAGACTGGAATTTGCCACAATGCAGATTAACAAGTCACAAAGCTTCTGTTCTTTGGACAAAACTGGAGCTCTTTGGCAAGACACATCAGCTCTATGTTCAGACACAAAAATGAAACATACCAAGAAAAGAACACTGTCCCTACTGTGAAACATGGAGGAGGCTTGGTTTTGTTCTGGAGCTGTTTTGCTGCATCTGCCACAGGGCGTCTTGAATCTGCAAGGTACAACAAAATCTCTAAACTATCAAGATATTTTGCAACAAACTGTGCCTCGTGTCAGAAAGCTTGGTCTGAGTCATAGGTCATGGGTCTTCCAACAGAATAATGACCCAAAACACACAGTTAAAAACACACAAGAATGACTAAGAACAAAATATTGGACTGTTCTGGAGTGTTCTTCTGTGAGCCCAGATCGCCATTCTACTGAACATCTGTGAAACATGCGTCTGGAGAAGGAACCCTTCAAACCTGAGACAACCAGGACAGTTTGCTCATGAGAAATGGGTCAAAATACCTGTTGACTAGGGCACAAGTCTCATTGACAGTTACAGAAATAATTTGTTTGCAGAGTTTGCTTCAGTTGTGCAACAAAATATTAAGTTAAAGGTACCAACATTTTTGTCCAGGCCAGTTTCATTATTTTATTTTTTCTAATGATTCTGTTGAACCACAGGTGAAAAGTAATGTTTGATTTACGTAGGACCATTTGCAGTTATTTATTTATTTTTACTTATTATTGCTTTTATCAAGTTATTTCAATGAGAATTGTTGATTTTTCTTTCATTAACAGAGGGGTACCAACAATTCTGAACACGTCTGTACATGTGTATGTTCGTACATACATACACATGTATGTATGTGTATCTATATATCTATATATATATCTATATATATATATATATATATATATATATGAGAGAGAGAGAAAGAGAAATATATAATATACACACGCATCAGTACTTGTATGAAAAGATATTATGACCAACTGATTCATTTTGACATTCTATTTAACTATTTACAGTAACAATTCATTTTTACGTCTTCATCTTCACCTTTTTCATCTTCATTATTATTTATGTATTTATTTTTTATTATTTTCTATATGTTTGTGGGTTTTTTGTGCCTTTGTCTATATTATGTTTGTTTGATTGGGGAGTGGGAAGGGCAGAGACTGTTTACTATTTTATTTTATACTTTTCGTTTCTATATAAAAAAAAAACATGTTATGTTTATATTTATATTTATGTTTCTCTATTTTAAGTATTTATCTAGCTACCTCTCTATGTAAAGGGAATGCACCAGTTGGCTCTCTCCCTCTGGAATGAGAGGAATACTAATATAATCAACACATGAGAGATGACCTAACAGATCATACTCAAAATCTGTCCTAAATACTACAGCAAAATCCTGTCTACCATCTCCTGCTGTCTGTCATGTTTCCCTGCTTCTCTCCACCATCTCCTCTAGAGCATCTTTCAGCTGCAGGACATTACTCATACTAGGGCTGTTAAGAGTAATGGAAACCTGATACTAATTAATCATTTTGAAAATAATACTCATTTGAACATTAAAAAAGTCACATTCACAGGACAGAAATGAACCTTTCCTGAATAGTTTTAGTAGCAAAGAGCACGTAGACTAGTAAAAGCTCATGGACCACTATACCGGGATGACTGAGGTGAATGAGGACACAGATATAAGGCTATGTGATAAAAGAAAAAAAGTCATTTGATGAGGAAAATGATAGTGTTTTTTGGGGGGGCGCCAGATGAGCTCTGGACACACAACAGGAAAGCCTCCCCTCAACCAGTCTCTCCGTTCTGTTGTTTTGGTCGGTGATGAGATGGGACATTCCCTTTGGAACGTCTTCTGCCATGTTTAGTGCAAAAAGCCTGTTGTGTTGTTGTGTAAAGTCTATATAGCATTTCAGAGATTTCTTGCTTGCATAGTATATGTATACAGAAAAAAAATGCTCAAATCACATAATCCAATAGTCCTTAAATTCTGTCCTTTGAACTGCACAAGATGCACCTTTAAGTTGGCCAAAATCCCCAAACAAAAATGTCTGTACAAATGTTTGTCCCGTCCTTGTTGCAGGAACATCATCCGCAGCTCGTGGGGGCGGCGTGTGGAGATCAGAGGCCGCCTGGTGCAGACCCTGTTCTTCTTAGGGGTGAGGAGGGGCGTGGGCTCTGAGCAGCTCCAGGAGAAGCTCAGGCAGGAAAACCAGCAGCACCACGATCTCGTCCAAAGCAGCTTCATCGACAGCTACCGCAACCTTACTGTCAAGACCATGGTGACACTGGAATGGCTGGCTGCAAACTGCTCCTCCTCCGTGGTATGTCCCTCTGACTGCAGGGGCTGGTGGGGCTCACTAATTTCTAGGCATAAACTTGTAATTTTAGTTTAAAAGGCCCATATTACTCTTTTTTTGGATCTATGTTAAAATGTTGTATCTTCATCAGAAACATCGCTGGTGTTTTTTGTTTCATTCACATGTTTAACACACAAACCCTGCATATTTACACTGTGTCCTGCTCTTAAACAGAAAACACTGTTCCACCTTGTGATGTCATGTGGCAATGTAGGAAGTGCTCCACTGTGTTTTTATACTCCATACACCTTCACTAAAATCACTTGGATAATTTCAACCCTGGAATTGTCAATCTCTACTGAACTAAGAGGTGAAAGGTTCATTAAAAACTACCACTCTGACATCACAAGTTGGAACAGAGCATCTGGTGCACTGGAGATGTTGAGTGACTAATAATGAAGGGTTACTCAAATGTGTGAATGAAACAAAACACAACTCCAAGTGTGTTTTTGATGAGGCATTTTAGCATAGCTTAAAGCTCACAAAAGTCAATATTGCGAAATATTGGACCTTTTAAAAAACACATTTTGACTTTTTTTTAGCTTTTAACCATATTATACTGTTCCCCCTCATCAAATATCCTACCTGGAGTTGTATTTTGTTTTGTTCTCGAGAAGCCCATGTTTATAAAGTGTATTTCCAAATGTAGACATTATTTTAAGTTAGAAAATGTGAAATATTTATCTCAAAACATGTTTAAAAGGGAATTAAAGCCACAAGAATGCATATGAGTTCTTTAAATCAATTTGTTTGTTGGAACTTTTTACCATGTTCTTCCCTTATCAAAAACAGACCTAGAGAGCCTACAAGCCTTCATCACCCATGCTCCCACGGCAGTTCTTCATAAATATACAAAACACAGAAACTTGATGTTGTGTACACAAAGGGAGTGTGAAACTTATAAAACATGTTAATATGTTGTTTTTGGTGAATTGCATAGCATGGTGTTCTAATATCTTATGTGTGAGCAGTTGATATCCCAGAGAAGTCAAATACACCCTCTTTAATTTATTAGAACAATGATACAAACATTTCTGCTTTCATGTTTAATGTAATTGTGCAGATTGTAGTTTCACAGCTAATTTCCAACTGTAGTCCTCGAGAGGCATTGTGCATACTATACATAGTGAAAATGGTACCTTTCAGACATTATAGTACAGCTTTATGAGAACAGAGGCAAAACAATTGCATCTCTATGGAGACAAGCAGGTTGTGTACCCTGCACCCAACCTACTAGTATTTACCATATTGTCAGTTAGAGAAGATTTATTGTGCTTGTATTTGCTCTGCTGTATCATTATGTTATCATTTGCACATTTGAACTTTCAATATTCATGTAAAACAATGCTGACAAAGAAGACATTAGAAAATCACATTGCCCAATTAGAGCTGAGATTACCGTGAACATCATTGCAACAAAGAGCCGCGTGGTTATTGGCCCCTCCTATGGACACATCACCCTAGCGAGTAGCGGAATTCAAACACTTTGTACCAAAATGGTGATTATGCACATCACTGAGTAAGAACATAAAATTGGAGAATGAAGTAAGTACAGAATAGTGGGCCTGTACCAGTGCCAGTAAAAACAAGGGTTGATCGGCAAAATGGTGTCTTGAATATAAATGTTAAAGATTACTCAAACGTGCATGAATCACTCCAAATACAACTTAGGGTAAGTAAATGGTGATGGGAAACTACTATAATATGGTTAAAAGCTCTGAAAAGACAATTTTGCAGAATAGGTCTGCTTTAAGACATCATCTCACACTTCATATCTTGTCCTCTTCAAGGCGTACGTGGTCAAAGTGGACTCGGACATTTTCCTCCATGTGCGTAACCTGATGGACCTGCTGCTGCAGCCAGACACCCCCAAAACCAACTACATGACGGGCCTGGTGTGGTGGCACAGCCCGGTCCTCCGCAGCCCGGGTAACAAGTTCTATCTGCCCCCCGAGGTCTTCGCCGAGCCTGAGTACCCCCCATACCCGTTGGGCATGATCTACATCATGTCCCTGGACCTGCCCCAAAAAATCCTGGGCATTTCCCGGGAGATCAAACCCATCTTCATTGAGGATGCCTACCTGGGCATGTGTCTGAAGAGACTGCAGATCTTGCCCACAGATCCCCCCAGACAAGACATGTTTCTGGTGAACGCGCAGCACCCGCTAAGTCCTTGCGCCCTCTCCAGAGTCGTAGCCACTACCACCACCAGCATGCCCATGATGATGACCTACTGGAGGCGCAGCCAGCTGCCGCAGACGCACTGTTAGTCAGGCTGCAGGGGGAGTGCAAGTAGCATTAAGAAGCAAAGTGGGCAGGTTGGATTGAGGTCAGTACATCAGCAGACACTCTTGGAACACAGCACACACTATTCCTACTACAAGTATGAAAAGAGTGATTTTATTTGTGTTAATTTAAAGATTTTAGGATGTTTAAAATGCTTTGTACTTTTCTTTTCATTAAAATATTGGAGTCTCATTGAGCATGTTGCAAGTTATACAGAATTGCTGATCTAGGTAATGGCCTCATCATTGCTGTCATGTGATAAAAATGTCTTCACATAGTGATTTCTGTCACTGCGGGTTGAATCCTGTGGACAGGATCCAGAGGTGGGTAGTACTTAAATACTCAAGTACATTTTCTGGAGTTACACAGTGATGGGAAGAAAATATTGAAAGTGTTTCTACTAACATGAATACCTGAATTAAAATGTATTTGCTTACATAGTCTAATCAGAGTACTGTATTTTATATACTTGGAATATGTGAAAAATCCCTCAGTCGTTCAGGTAGAATCCATGGCAAAGGAGAAATTCAATTTGTCAACTGGAAATAGTTTATCTGGTCAAATACATTTCACAGCTCATCCAAGCTGCTTGTTCAGTTCTGCTGGTGTGTACTTCCTTATATCTGTCTGCAGGGAGGAGCTAACTAACAAACTACTCTGAAACTAACATCTACTTGTTTAAAGTTTCTTTTAGTTAGGCCTATTGAAATGTATTGAGTGTGGCATCATATTAGCACAGGCAATAGGAGACAGATGTTTCCTATTTACAACTCTTAAGAGAACAATAACTGTAGCCAGGTCAGGTCCAGAGTGTGAAAGCTCCATTATGGCCCTGAATGGTTAATAGTTAATGGCTAATGGCTAATATGATCCCATACTCTGTGCAGTTCAGTAGGCCTAACTGACTGACTGACTGAAACTGTAAACAAGTAGATGTGTTAGTTCCATTGTAGTTGGCTCCTCCCTGCAGACAGATATAAGGAAGTACCCACCAGAAATCTGACCAGAAGTGAAGAAGCAGCTTGGATGAACCGTGAAACGTATTTGACCAAAAAAATTTTGTCCAGTTGACAAACTGATTTTGTCCTTTTGCCACTATACTTGGAATACTTCTACACAGATTTGCATTATATTTTAGTGAGAAAAATACTACACTGTAATCACACATGCATTTTTCAAGAGTGATGTTTTCTGTTTTTCTCACTTATAATGTGCAGGTCAAAGCCAAAATGACATAATGAAGTAGAGTCACAAATTCCTTTTTTATTTAGGAAAGTAGCTGTATTCTGAATACCACCAAATGAAAGAGTAATACCACCACACAGTTACTCCAAATTTGTATTCAGAGTATGTATTTTCAGTACATTTATTTAAACTATTGAAACTAAATTTTATAGTATAGAGTATGCTTAAATGAATTAAAGTTGTGATTCCTCTTCCCACTGTTTACAAGTGACTGCCAATATTAAATGATTTGGACTTTTGTGTTCTTTTGTGTTTTTTATCCTTTGAAAATTCCAGATTTAGGTTATAGTTAAATGTTTTGTACTTTCAATAATTATACTATATCAACAGTTACTTTACTATTAGGATTTTATTTTTTTATTTTTTTTTTATTTTGAAAATTGACATTTGTAAAACAGCTCACACAGAATCCCAAAGAGGGTTACCTAAACAATTTAATTTCACCAAAATACAGTTTTAAAAATTTGGTCATGTGTTTATGTGCTAAGTTTCAGTCCTGCTCTCAAGGACCACAGTCACTGGTTTAGTGTGTCCGTCTGTCTGTCAGTCACTCACTCTCACTGGCGCGTGAGAAAAAGGAGCAAAATAATAGCAATGGAGGGTCCTTGCTCCTGCACTATGAAACCTGAATGCAGACAATTTGAACAAGACCGTACTGTTTCCCTGCTTTAGCCATTAGCATATGAACTTCCAAATGAAAAAGGGGGTATTATGCACATATTTAAACTTCCACCATGTTGTTCTCGCATCAGAAACATGCCTGAAGAGGTCCTACAGGCTCTGTACACCCGTCCCTAACATTAATACGTCCTGTCCAATTTGATCTATATGAGGTTTTTGCCAAGTCGCACCACAATGAATAAATATTTAAAGATAAAAGGCAGAGAACAAGGAGCAGTGGGTGGATGTCAGTGACCACGTGTTAAAAAGTACATAAATAAAATGAATACTTCAGCAGAGGACACTTGCAAATGCAATTTTGAGGCATAACTGTTGAAACAATGCCAAGAACTGAAGTGTTCTAGATATGAAAATAATTGGGTAGTCTTTATTTTAATTGGTCTGAATTTGAACAGATTATGTTTCATGATTTTAATAAAAGTAACTATTAGCCAGCATGATCCTTACAGTTATAGTTGCAAGATTTAACAGAGGGAGCGGGGATTCAGACAGTGTCAAAATTGAAATGAAAACATGTTCTATCATGTGTGATGCCTGTTATGTGTTAGCAGTTAGTACCACATAGAAGAGAGAAAAAAAAACTCTTTAAATGAAGATGGCATGAAGAAAATAGAGAAACCATTGGCCTAGAAACAATGGGAAGAATAGGAAAGGGCGCTTCAAAAAGCTACCGAAAACTCACGTTAACATTTATTAATTGTTGGTGCCTCGGTCTTGGCTCAGAGCGTGCTGACCAGGCGTACCCGTCTCAGGGAACAGGTCTCAGGCTGGAGTGTGGACTGAAGAGGAACCCAGGTCACCACCTCCTCTTGTCCCACAGCCAGGCTACTGGGATCCACCTGGGCTACGTACAGGGGACACAGGTAGGTAAAGGGGACAGGGCTACCTGGAGAGGGGGACACCGCGTTGGCTGGAGACGTGGGGACCGGGCCTGGGCGGGCACACAGGAGGGGGAGTGGGTAGCTTGCAGACTGGGCATCCTGTATGGCCCCTCGCTCTGGATCCCACTTGGCTCCTCTCAGCTCCAGGCCGCAGAGGTACACAGCCTCTGCAGGGCAGGACGAGGGACAGGCATTGTCACCGACAATCTGAGGACAAATACAGGCCATCAGCACGACACCAACACTGGGAAAGTCTATCAAATTTTACAACTCATTATTAGTTAAAGTGACAGTATGTAAATCTCTGGTGGTGGAAAGTAAAAATGATCTGATGTAAATAGAAAGCTCAACTTAAACATACTTAAGAACAACAACAACAATATTTTAAATCTCGTCAGTTTCGCTTTAAGATAGGACCTTTAACTTTCAACCACTGATAGAAAACAGTAGACACTGTGGTTGTTGGTTCATGTGTTTTGACCTGGAAATGGAGGGTGGTGTCTGACAGGCTTTTGCCGTGGACATGGGCATAGTTTCTTCTCAGGACCAGCAGGAAACCCGTGGGGTTGGCAAAGACAGACAGTCTGTAGGCGTGGACTTGGTCTGGACTGGCGTGGTGCCACAGGTACGAGCTGAGGAACTCTGCTCTCCTCTGATGTTCCTGGATGCCCTGCAGATCAGCCTCACAGGGTGACAGGCACATGTGCGAGGCCAGAGTGGACACGGCGTCTCTCAGGATGTCCCATTCATCCTGAAGGAATGCCTGCAGAGGACTGGAGGCAGAGACACCTGGGCCCTGTGTTCTGGCAGTCATGTAAGCCTTCAGGGCCCTCACAGTCTGGGCATAACATCTCAGAAGAGAAACAGCGGACATGTCCCCTACAGAGCGCCCCGGGGGACACTGGGACACCCGCAGCAGAACGTCCAGGCTGTGGCTCTTCTTCTGAAAGACCTCTTCCATGACATCTTCTCCAAAGCCCAGGCTCAGACACTCATCTCGGCCTGTGCTGTACTGCTGGTCTCCATTCAACATCACCATTAGAGCGGAGGCACCTGAAACACAGAGTATTTATACTTTGCAGTTGATGTCATCACCATTCCCAAAGGCTGCCATGCTACTGTCAGAAGCTATTAGATTTAAGACACAACTTGGCTGGACAAAGCTGATTTAGTTGGAACTACAACAGATGAGATGATTTCTGTTGTTAAACAAGTCTCTCATATAAAATTACAGTCACAAGTTAGCAAACATTAGCCAACAGTTTTTGAGTAAGTCACTCTCAGCATTTCGACTGAAAATCAAACTCGTAAACAGGACCGGGAATGCTCGTACTGATCACAGGCTCCTGAAAAGGAGTTATTTAAATCCATTTTGTGTTTGCGCTTTCAGACGATCTTATACATTTTTTGAATGTTTACTAATGTGTCTGTTGTGTCTCTATAGTAACTGCTGAACATTCCATCTGTCTGTTAAACATAAGTATTTGGGAATTACCTTTCCTCCAGTAAGAATATCCTGGTTGTAAAGTGACTGTTGTCAATGCAAAGTATGATAAGCAGGTTGCTAAGCCAGTGTTTGCACAGTTGTTCATGAATTCAAATTATTTCTTTGAAAAACCAACAGATTTTCACCAGCCACATGAATGCTGAATCAATTTAAAGGTACATTATGGAACTTTCCTGGTGGAGGGTCTGTCACCTGCTTGTCAGATGAAAATGACTTTGCATTACCAGGTACAGTATGTGTGGAAGTATGGTATATATTGTATTTATTCAATTCCAAATATTTTATTGTCAAAATACTAGGTTTGGTGGAGTGATGTCCTTGTCTCCATAGAAACAGTTGGTGTGTGTTGTTTTAACAATATTATATTTAACAAGGAGACACATTGTGCAAACTTGAATTGCACTTAAAGTGATTCATGCATGTTTGAGTAATCTTTATTCTCCTGTATTCAAGATGTTACTGCTCCAATCTACCTTCATTTTTGGAGATATGATGTTGTCTTCAGCTATTCACAGGAGGTGCTAAAAGCATGTGGTGCTTTGTTGTGACGTCATTTCCAGGGGCAGACAGGTATCTACTGCGAACACCTCATTGGGCAACAGACTTGTTTCTTTTATTAAGTTGTTTTAGCTCAATATTGTAATTTAAAATGTCCAAAATGCAACAATGATCCATGGGTGTCAGAGCTTATAACTATTCTATAGACACAAGCACAACATGTTTTCATTAAAACAACATGTAGGCAAAGCAAAGTAGCTCGCGCCCCTGTGCAGTATCCCTCACTTACTTTGCCTGTGTATGATTATGGTAGGAGAGTGAGTATAGTACAAATTATATGCATAAAGTATAGACATAAAGCTATGCAGAAATCCCAAATAATTCAAAGGAAGTTTCCACACATTTTTTGTCTGGATGGTGTACATTTGTAAAGCTGTAGTAATGAGTAGTTACCATCCTGTGTGTGGGATCCAGAGAGCAGGTAGACCCGGGCCACACTCTTCAGCTCCTCTTGGTGAGCAGTGTCCAACACATGAGCCCCATGCACCAGACTCACTGTGGACACAACACAAATCATAAATAGTAAGATTTCAATCTATTTAATTTTCTTTGTTCCAGCCATTTGAATGCACAAAACCTTGAAAATCATCCATCCTTACTTTGAGAGGGCTTGTTTCTCCATAGATTTGACATGCACCTTTGTTGGTGAGAGACACGCCCATAGACTTTTAACTGATAGACTGCCAACCGCATTTCTGAGGGCTATTAAATCAAGAAGTTACCAGCCCATCATCCACATTTACGTGAGGCCAGGGTTAAGGTTAGTGTCACTGATGATTACACCAGATAAATGACAATTCTACATTCTTGAATAAATCATTTTAGCACATTTCTTGAAACTTGGTTTGATTCAAACATGTATCTGAACAGGGGGACAGGTTGTCATATCATTTAGAACATTTCTCATCTGCTCTCACAGTTCTCAGGCTTCAAAACACTTGACACAGCTCGTATTCACAAACACTCATGATCAGTGAATTCATCTTCAGTACCACAGGTCTGTTGTCATGTGGTAAAGGACACATGAAAGGAAATATGAGTAAAAAGCAAATGTTTGGGAACACTCAAAATCTGTCAACATATATATCTGTTTTGTTTGATTTTCCATCACATCCGTTACATATAAGTGTTGATGTATTTGCTAATCTAACACCTCTCAGTTTTCTTCCTCATATATAAGTGTATCAAAGTGACAGAAAAAAAAATTAATTTGTATGTGATGGGACGTTCAGTTTGACACAAGTCCACCAGGTAACTCCACCTGATTGTCTCCTGGGACATGTTCTTACTTTGATGCGATTCTTTGGAATTTTAAGGGCAAATTGGTTGGTATTCTGTGGTATTTATTATTAAATGTATTTTGCATGTGCATTTTTTAAACACAGTTGTACTCTTCAACAATCAACTTCATCAACTAAACAGCTGAGTTACGTTGTTGAAAGAACAATTTACATATTCAGTAAGCCAATGTTTCACAAACTTATTTTTGAAAACCCATATTTTAAAAGTTACAGCCCAAATCAATAGACATTATTAATAAATCACAAAATAAAGGTGGATTTAAGCATTATTGAACATTAATGAGGATATTTTATTGTTGACTGAGTGATCGTGTCTCTTACTCAAGTTTTAAACAATGAAAAACTGTCACTGAAGCAGCAATAAAAGGATCCATATGTATCCTGAAGTACACTGACCATTGCTGATTTATCACTCTTAGTTTTGTTTCTCAATTTTAGATACAGGAACACTCATTCAGGGCAGGCAGAGAGGATTTGCTGACTCTAGCTCTCTCATGTGTCAGAACTACATGCATACATTGTGACAAGGCAATCCACCTTACCATCCACCTGAGGGTCATGACCCAGTCTTTGGGAAACAATGCTATAAACTTTTTTTTACAACCTCTGAAAATGAACAGTTCTATTCAGTGGTTGTAAAAAATGTTATGATTTACTTTCCACTTCTGGACAGAACACACTTGTGTCCCACACTCTCCTTTACCTGCCAGGTACTGAAGTGCCCTCTCCTGGTCACTGCACAGAGCTGCAATGCCGCTGTATGTCTCCACTAGAACCTGCAGGTCTGTCTCAGTCCTGGAGAAGTATATAACAAGACACAGTCAATGAGATAAGCCATATTAAATATAATGATTTCATTACCACTATCCAGTGTTTTCAAAATGCCACATACCAATTTCAAAAACCAAAGCTCATAAACATGTCACAAGCAACATGTGAACAGAAGAAGACAATTTTGGATTAAAAGATTAAAGGATAGGTATTGCACTTCTGTGGGGTATTAATTACTTATACATAACACATTTAGATCACCACATTATCTTTTATTGTTTTATCTCATTAAAATCAATCTGTTAATGAAACTACTGCACATCACATGAGGTTTGTGTACTTGTACTGTAGTTTTGTATCATGCTGTTGTATATTTATGGGAAATGGCAAAATGACTCAGACATGCATGGATGACACACATGTTTTTGATGAGGGAATGTACAAAAAATGTACATGGTACAAAAAGTAGTTTGCATAATACCCCTCTTTAAAAAGTATATTATAATTAAAAAACTCTGCTCTGAGTTCTTTAGTAGATGTTAGTTACTGTATGTTACCATGGCGATGGTCACTCCAGCCTTTATTAATGATTTATTGGACAGACTCAAATTCTGCTCTTATTAGCAGCTTGACGCTAAACCTGAGCTGAAGAGGAGAACAGTGAGATTCTTTGCAGCTGATGTCATCATTCCTTAGAGTATGATGCTAACATTAGGCACACTTTGTCTGTGGCTTTCTTTAGACTTTAATCTGAGCTCTATTTCAATGCAATCTGACCAGAAAGAACTTAACTCACCCGCTGTAGTTCTAACTGTTAAACAAGTATTCTCAAACTAACATTACAGTCACAAACTAGCTCTAGCTCATTTAGTCTCACTCACATTTTTGCTGAAAATCAAACACCTAAACAGGAACATGAATTAATATTAAGTATTAATAAGAGGCTCCTGAAAATGTATTGTTTAAATCCATTTTGTATTTTTTTGATATGTGTCTCACCAGGGGTAGCAGTGGTCAGGTCCCGTTCGTCTCTGCAGCAGAACTGAGTGGAAGAGGGCACAACGCTGGAGATACTGCCCCCTGTGGACCGCAGACACACACTGTAACTGCTGCATGGAGCGCTCCCACTCCTCCCTCAGCGTAACGCACGAGTCAAGAACCAACATGAGGGAATGCTGTCGGACAGCAACTGAAAAAAAATACAAAAACATTATATATAAGTATATGAGTTCAAGCGATTAATCGCTATATAAATATATATAATATATATATATATATATATATATATATATATATATATATATATATATATATATATATATTAGGGCTGGGAAAAATAACTTTTTTTAATCGGAATTAATCGCATGAGTTCAAGTGATTAATCGCGATTTATATATATATATATATATATATATATATATATATATATATATATATATATATATATATATATATATATGTGTGTGTGTGTGTGTGTGTGTGTGAAAGAAATGCTGTTTGCACAATTCATTAATTGGTTTTGCGTATAACATGCGATTAATCGCGATTAAAAGAATTTATTTTTGCCCAGCCCTAATATATATATATATTTATCCACATCATGCTGGGGATATTCTACATGTATATCTATGGTGGAATGCTCAGCAGTTACCATGGAGACATAATGCAGTTTAATTTTCAATAAGAAGGTGAAAAGCTTATTTGAGAGGCACTTGCACAAATCAGCTCACCTGTTGTAGTCCCACCTAAGTCAATTCTTTATAATCAGAATGTGTTAAAAAAAAAAACTCAGATTAAACTAAGAGAAAAGTGCCTCTAGTTAGCTTCACACCCCCACGAAATGTTGATGACATCAGCTATGATTCTTGTAGTTACATGGTATAAGGTGAACTTTGTCTTCTGGGGCAATGAACCAGAGCTGGAACCGCTGGAGGCCTGCACAGAAAACACACAAATAGAACATCTCAAATTGTGCTTATCTGTATATTTAAGATTGTACTAAAAATATTACCAAGGGTCAAAACTTGTCTAAATTACACAATAATGATTACGATGATCAGCCATTGATGTTTATGTTGATAGCAGGATTTGAACCGCAAACCTCTGGCTCAGTGGACAAACGCTGACGCCTCCACAGCTATGTCACTATGCTGAATCATGCTGCAGGGAGCATTGCATTCACCTTTCAAGTCTTTCACAGGTACTCAGAGTGAATCTGCTGAAAAGCACAGGGAACCAGTGGTGGGCTTGTCAATGCTGGTCTCATCTAGTAAATGCCATTGGAGCTTCATGGTGCTGGGTACATTAACACCAGTGTCCTGCTCAAGGTCATTGTGTAGGGCACAGGCAGTGCTTAACCAGTTCTTCCTTGCACAAAGAGCAGATATGGTCTCCAACCTTCTACGGTCCAAAGCAGCACTAGTGGAAAACCATCCAAAAAAGACCAAGAAGGAGAAACTTGAAATGACCTCCACATGCAAAACCAGATCTGTTTTATAGGGGTTTTCTCATTGGTGCCATCCTGTTGTTCATTTCCATTAAAAGAGGTGGCATCCTTTTATTTCTAACACATTGCCCTGTCCATATTTGCAGAGGTGTCCAACTTCTATACTGTTTTTCACATTGAGACATTCTGATGTGTTTTCAAAGTGTTCCTTTAATTTTTGAGCAGTGTATTTTGGATGAATTGGCACTTAAACAGTTTGTCCACAAAGTTTGTGTGTGTGATTAGAGAGAGGCTCCATAACTGCATTTGCGGGAGTACAGAAGAGCACTGTTCATGACTGTGCTCTCCTCCAATATGTTTCTCACACCTTCAGACACCCTGAGACTCTTCAGATGATTCCTCTGTTTGATCAGTACAAAGATATCAGCAGAACCCTGTAAGACCTCTGGAGAAGTGATATTGGAGTGTGCAACATACATGGAGGACAGAACACACACAGGGCATCAGTCTGTTATGGAGCAGAGCCAACCTGTATCCAAAAAGACATTTCACATGTGTGCCACGTACCTTCTCTGTTATGAAGGAGCCTGATTATTTCAGGCAACCGTCGCTCCAATGGTTCCAGTAAGTGAGAGTTCTTAAAAACCAGCCAGAGAACTTCATTTGGATTTGCATTTTTCAGATCTGAAATGATGGAGTCGTGTTCCCAAGAACAGACCACTTTGAGGGAAACCTGGAGAATACAACAAACATGAGATCTCAGTGTTAAATCTTTTTTACAGTTGAATATGAAATGAGTTGAGATGGGTCACCTGCGCAGAGAGAGCCAGCTGTTTGATGAAGTGCAGGGACTGCAAGCCTGTGTGAGGGGCCCCTGTGAGGACCACAGGGCCAGTGTGTGAGAGCAAAAGACTGCACAGGGCCTGGAGGGCTTCAGAGCAGGAGACGTCATCGAGAAGACACCCAGCTATCTGCTCAGCTATAGGATGAAGCGCCTCAGGTTTCAGGGACCTCCACAGCAGGGCCCTCTGCAGTAGTGACAGCTGTGTAGGGCTCAATGGGCACCTGGCTTGTGACAGATGAAGGGACATTCAGGTACTCCTGCCACTGCTCTGGAACAGAGCTGAGGGACGACAGGAGGCCCCTAAAGGCAGGAACCTCCTCCAGGCACAACAGCTGTGGAAGCACATGTGCAGGGATCCACTGTGGCAGAGCCTGCTGGGTCTCAGGGCAGGTCCTGGGGCAGATCCTGGGGCAAGTCCCTGGGTAGGTCCCGGTGGTAGAGTGATGGTGGGCAGTGGGCTTCAGACCCTGGAGGAAAGCCTCGCTCTCGGCCTGGGAGCAGAGCTGTCTGTGGTGGAGCAGAGCCACGCTCAGCAGGACCTTTAGGACGTGTGCATGGCTCCTGGACAGACAAGGCTCATAGTGCATCAACAGCTGAGAGACAACCCAGTGAGAGAGGTCCTCTTCTTCATGCACAGAGCAGAGAGGCTTCTGTCCAGGTCTCAATGAGAGGGTCTCCTTCATTACACTCACAAACTGCTCTAGACTGAAGCAGTAGGCTGGGGACAGCACTGCCACCTGCTGGAGAGCTCTGTACATGGCAGCAATGAGGGCACAGAGAGGCTGAGAAGACCTTGAGCACCCACTCAGAGCACCCTCCACTTGCTGCAGGTCCCTCTGCAGTTCCTGGGTCTCCTCATGGAACACACGCACCTCCTCTGTGAAACCAGGCTGCTCCAGCAGGGGGCCCTCACTCTCCACTATGTAATCCATGAAAGAGGCCTGGAGCAGGGCAGAGCAGACAGTGCATCTTTATATGAGGGAGCTGTTTGAATGACTGTAACATTTCTGGGGTTGGGTGGGTCCACTACCTGCTTGTCTCTTGAAAACATTATTGCTTTGCCTGGAAAATTCCACTGTATCCACTTATCAGTCTTTCATGTTCACTTAGACTTTTTCATTGCCAAAAATACTTGACACTTGTCACTTGCTTGTTTCTGTGGAGAGGCATGTTTTCTGTATGCAAGTTTTCTGCAATGCCATTTTTCTGAAACATTCCAGGCAAAGCAACATCCCCATGAAGAAAAGAAGGTTTCGAACTGTCCACCAAAAACTAAAAATTATCTCAAGAAGAAATGCTAATATCAATGTTAAGTCAAGACCAAGGAGTGGTATATTCACCTCTCTGGAGCTCAGCTGCTCTGTTAGGTGATGCATGTTCTGCTCTAGCTGCTGTTGCTGACTCAGGAGAAGACTGCCCTCTAGAACAAGAAGCTGGGTTTGCATGAATCTCTCCAACTCCTGTGTGCTGAGGGACAGATCCACCACATGCAGCCTGCACAGGAGAAGCCTGGGAAGCTCTAGAGACAGGTACCATCACTTCAGGTTTTATATAATGCAATCTTGACACTTGTGAGCTCTAAGCCATGTTAGAAATCTGCTTCCTCACAGAAAACGTACCTGGAGTTGTAGAGTAGCTCGTTATTATTAGCCAGTCTACATCTTCAAAGCTCAAAATGCTCAAAATGTTTAGGGTAATAGCTACCTTTTACCTTTTGTTTAGTATGGGAAATTCCAGAGCTGAAATTAACTTAGTAATAAATAATATTACAGTGGAGCACTTCAAGTATTACCACATGACATCAAAAGGTAGAACACAGTGTTTTCTGTTTGAGAGAAAACTCAGCCTAAATGTGCAGGATTTGTGTGTTAAATGTGTGAAAGAAACAAATCACAACTCCAGGTGTGTTTGCGATGAGGAAACAAGATTAGGACAGTGATCAGAAAATAGAGTAACTGTTAATATACGACCATAACATGCATCCCAGGACTGAAACAAATTATTTATCTGCAGGATTTTGAAAAAAAAAAAAAAAGGATAATCAGAACCTGATGCAATGTGAACTTTGTTTAATTTAGCGGGATGCACGACGATTTATATCTGTAAGCACTGGGCCTATTCACGTTGGAACAAACATTTACATTATATTCACGTCTTTTGTCATCACACACGAAGAACTGGAAAATTCCACAGTATGGCAATAAACTTTGCAAACTCAATGGAGACAGACAGGTGTCACCTTTATCCCATACTGTGGAGGAAAAAGAATAGGGTTTTCATGAGACTAGCATGCAGCCAGAAATACTGCATGGTGTTGGGGTGGGTAATATGCCAAAAAATCATATCACAATTTCCTTAAAGCCAGATCACGATTTAGATTTTTCTTACTATCTTTTATTAGTCTTTATGAGGTAATTAAAGCCATCTGTTGTTTCTTAAAACACCATATTACCAATCAGCCCCTGTTTTTACCTCCACCAGCACAGGGCACTTCTCTGTGCTTACTTCACTCTTCACTCTCATTTACTTTTCTTAATCTGTGACACGTAGGATTCTACAGCTTCGCATCGAGGTGACAACAGCTTCACCGCTCTTTGTTAGGACGACGTTTGTGGCAATGTCAGATCCCATTGGGCACCACAGTTTTTTAATGTGGAGGCCAGGGGACTTGGATGAATATTGCTGTTTACATTGCCCAAATTATGTGGTGTGTGTTTTTGACCATAGACCTTCACTAAACCAAAAAATCAGGGAATCAGAATATGGTCATTTTACCAGCATAATCGACAACCCATGTTTTACCATCTCTTACTTTGTCCCAAGTAAGTAAACTAGATTAAGGGCCCTTACCTGTGGTCAGCCTGTGAACAGGGAGAGCAGTGGAGAAGGCCAGACTGAAGCTGGGGTGGGTCTCTCTTGGTGGGACAAACAGTACAGAGAGGAGCTGTAGACAGGACGGGGCCCGCTCTGTGGCCCTCACCAGGACTCGGACCCCTGAGCATAGGAAAGACCCAAGTTTAGGATGGACTACCCCTGTGCATTAGCCATTGTCTGCCCCTGTCACCATAACCCCCCATGTGAACCCTCTGTCTGCACCTGTCATTGCAGCCTTCTCCACCTTCTCCAGTAGGCCTTGGTCATCAGCAAAAAGCTCCAGGTCAAACGTCTTCATGACCATCATACAGTCTCCTACAGGAAAATACACTAGATTATTTCTACTTTTCTATTAGGACCAACATAATATCTAATCCTGAAAGTTATAAATTATATTTTTAATGAACATCAAAATATATCTAAAGAAGTAAGGGAGAATTTAGATTTAATTGTAACATCAAACTAAAATAAAGGCACTTGAAAGTGCAATAAGCTCCAGGAGTAAAAGAGTTGGCAAATAGACATAACATGGCTTCTTGCACAGGCCCTACCTCTGAACCAGCTGTGGGGGGAGCAGGGGTCTAAGCGGTGGTCGGGGTCGACCAGCAGAGAGCAGCGCTGCAGACAGTTGTGGGTGCAGGTGCTGAGAAACAGGGTGAGCAGGAGACTGGAGAGGGACTCCCCCTGTAGCTGTCTCTCGCTCAGACCCAGGGCTCGAGCCAGGGGCCCCTGTGCGAGGGGTGACACAGGCAGAAGAGGAGAGCAGGGGCCACAGGCATCACTGACACTCAGAGAATACATAGTCCCCCTGGGGTCCTCTCGCAAGGGGCACATCCTGCCTGTCTCACACAGAGCTCTCCATTTTGTCACCAGCTCACAGCGAGTGTGCGAACCAAATGGGCCCAGGTATGAGAGTGCAGCTGCAGTGAGGAGGGCATCTCCTGGCAGGGCCGCAAGGGTCACAGCTGCCTGCTACAGCACAAAAACAAATCATCTCTGTGAGTACACTTTACTCACATACTGCAGTACTGATGGTCAGGACGTCAGATACTAGTATCACACTGACACTATGCAGTGCACCTCTAGCTATAGAAGACAGCCCTGTGACTACACAGTATTTGACTAGAATGTGCTGGTACCTCCTTCCACACAGTCACATATGTCCCTAGTTGGTCCGCAGAGCAGGTGGCCTTTCTGTGAAGCTGCTCGGCCTGTTCGAGCTCAGATGTTTGGGTGAGGAGCCGCTCTTGTACAGAGTGGAGTTGCACGTTCAGTGTTGTCAGCTGGCTACATGCGTCCTCTTTCTGTCTCCGGGCCACATGGAGGCGCTCTCGGGCAGCTGTGGCCTCTCCCTCCAGGTGTCGGCTCTTCTCCACGTGCTTGTGCAGCCTGCAGCACTGGTACACGGCCAGCACCCAGCGGCAGAGCGACTCGCAAGCCTGAGAGGCCTCGCGCACCAACTCTGGGTCAAAAGCAGGGCTGCGCACCAGTGTACCCAGTTTGTGCAGCTGCTGTGTGGGCACACTGCAGTGGTCAAAGTATTCCAGCTCCTGGAACAATAGGCATAGTCATTCAGCAGCACACATGAGATAGAATCTCCCTTTGAGACAAGTCTGATACAGGACCATCATCATGTCAGTCACTGCTGTCCGTGCATTACAAACACAACATAAATAGCAAAGAAATTTAATTCTGTCAACTGGACAAAAGTTTTTTGATCAAATACGTTTCACAGCTCTGAATTGAACTGAAGAAGCAGCGTGAGTAGGCTGTGAAAGGTCTTCAATCAAAGACTCGTGTCCTGTTGGTAAAACTAAATTTCTCTTTGTGCCAGTGAAAGGCACAAGGCAGTAAGGCGAGAGTGTTTCTTGTGGATGACAACGATACAGACCTGAAAGAAGTCTTTCTGGCTGAGCAGGTACTTAGCACTGTCCCAACCTGGGGGGTGATTGAACAGCAGGCACACCGCGTCCAACACCATTACCACAGGCTGAGGGGGGTCCCTGTAACCCCGCACCTCCTCCAGAGCACCGAGATCTAGGCTGGTCACCTTCCTCACACCAGCATCCAGAGCCTCTTGCACCTGCACATATCTATGTCACTGCACTGCGATGGACAGCTGGGAAATTCATGTGGGCCTCACAAACAGGCTTTTCTGTGTGATAAATCTGCAACATTGTTTCAATGACTGTGATTAAATTTTTGCATTTTCAATTTGACTGACATCAAATGTGCAGCATCTACAGGTGTTGTAGATGCTTTGAGCACTCCAGATATTTTGTTGCTCGGGCACACTCCAATCAGTAGGACTAAATAATTTGGGGAAAATATCTAATTGTAATTGTTTGTTTATTTCAGTTACAAGATTTACCAATTGGGGAATTCACGAGACTATGAACTAACAAACAAATACAATAAATACTTGTATTTCTGAAGATGCTTGTACAGATCCAAACTAGCAGTTATTGCAGGAAAAGAAAGGATACATTTGTCGAGGAGCTTATGGTTCTACTAACTGCGTCAGTTCAACTGAATTTACAAAAGAATATGTGGGTGTGCAGCTGTAGTAGGTCAATCATTTGTCAGTTTATGTTTGTGACAAAAATCAGGAGTACAGCCACAGACCCAGGCTCAGACACACCAGGTCTTGCTCTGTACCTTCAGCTGGGTGTGTTGGATGTTCTTCTCCAGCTGAGTGAGAAGAGCCTCCTCCACGTGTGCACTGCGCTGGGCATCCTGCAGACTCTGTTCCTGCACTGTGAGGGCCCTGAGCACCGCCTCCTCCTCCTGCAACAGGCCCCACTCAGGGGACAGAGACCCACATCTACAACAGTATCCACATTTTGTACAGAATAGTTTTCCTCCTCACTCTCTCCTTTAGCCCCCACAGACTCCACTCCTCCTCCTCCCTCACTCTCCTCTTTAGTCCTCCAGACCCAACCTCTCCTTTCCCCTCACTCTCTCCTTTAATCTTTTAGACATATTGAAGTTACCTAACCTTTTGTATAGCTTGAACCTTCTTCCTCTGTGTGAGCAGTCTCTCCAAGGCCATGTTGGTCATCTCCTCCAGACGGGACACGGCTGCTTCCACTCTGACAAACATTATCATTAACCTTGAAGCTCCATGGCAACATACATATAGAATAAAGCCTATGGTACCGGTGGGTGTGGTGTAGGGCTCTCTTCTGCAGCAGGGTGAACAGCTCACAGAAGAGGCCCACACACTGCAAGTATGAGGATGGACTGAAGGGCTGGTAGCTGAGCAGAGAAGAGGCGTACTGACGGGCACACAGGCAGAGCTGGGCCATAGCTTCTGCTACACTGCTCAGTGACCCTCCTATGTCTGAAACAAAGGCAAAGGTGTATTAAATTCATTGTATTTGTAAATGTAAAGTCTAAAATCACAACAGCAGTCACCTCTGGTTGCTTTACAGGATCATTGATTTAACAAAGAGAAACAGAAAATCCAACAGTGAAACAGACATTGGTCAATAACAGACAGATGAACCAATATTCACACAAAACAAACAAATTGAGAACAGCCCGTCCTTAGACCCTGCTCCTGCAGCAACAACTCAAAAAACCCGGTGGGAAAAAGACAAACCTCTGGGAGAACCACAGAGAATGAGAGATCCACTCCCATGGACTAAACCAGGACAGGCAGGCTGCAGATGGGTCCAGAACTAACACGTATCCATTTGCAGATAAAGTTCAAATCTGTAGAGACAGTCCAGCATAGAACTGCAGGTGTAAGAAGCTGGCAGGGAAAGCATACATGGAGCGACATAATCAAGTGGAGGACATAGAGTACAGAAACATCTGTGCAGCGTACGGGCTGGAGACTCCAGGATCAAGGTGGGAAACACCTCCAAAGGTTGTGGAGAATGACTGAGCCAAGATCTTGTGGGACTTCCAGATGCAGACTGACAGAACGGTGATGGACCAACCAGACATAATGGTGGTGAATAAACACAGAACAAAGCCATGGTGGTGGAGTGATGGTAATATCAGGAAAAAAGAACACAAGAAACTAGAGAAATACCAGGGGCTCAAAGAGCTGGAGGAGACCTGGAAGGTGAAGGCATCAGTGGAGCCTGTGGAGATCGGAGCACTCGGGGCTGTGGCTACAGCAGATAACAGGACAAACAGTCCAGCTCAGTGCAGTAGTAGGAACAAGCAAAGATACTGAGCAGAATCCTCAAGCTCCCAGGTCTCTGGTAGAGGAGCCGAGCTGGATGAGGGTGAGAAACCCACCACTGTGGAAGGTGAGGAACACATGATTATTTATTATAATTAGTTTATTAATTACATGGAACAAGCCAGCCAACTGGTATCAGAACCAACCTGTGTCACACAACCTATGTTCTAATGCTCTGGCGCATCCCGTGTGACTAATAAAGGACTTTTACCTTCACTAACAGAGTGCCTGCATGGTCATTCTCACTAAGGCGTAGATTAGATAATTTCATTTTTTCTTATGTGAACACGTATAGCAATTTGACCCAAAAACTCAAATCTAAAAATGTGTTTGTAGTGTAGATGCTGTGCCTCACATGCACTGGTCTGGAGGCAGCAGTGTGCAGTGGACAGCAGAGACTGGTAGGACCATGGCTTATAGAACTCCACACAGCAGCTGCGCCTAACTGCTGCCCTCATCTGGCTCTGAGGAAAGAAGAACAAACAAACTGGATTCAAAGGTGGATAACATGAAGTGACTCCTTTGTTTTTGCACTGGTTCCATAAAAAACAAATGGACATGTATTTATGTTATTAGGTTCTTTTTTCAGACCAAGAGTTTGTTTTCATACCTGACAGTTAGGACTGCTCCCTGCGCTCTTCCTCAGGGTGGCCACGTGATGTTGCTGTGATGTGTCTGGTCAGTTGATTTAATCTGTCAGACTGCAGGTGGCGCTGTCATCTTATCTCCACCAGTATGAAGACAGCTCCAGAAACCTGTTTAAGTCAGCTGACCGGACATGTCATAGCAACATCACGTGACCACTCTGAGGAAGAGCGCTAGTGAGAAAAAATGACAATCATCACGCTGAAATAACTTGAAAATGATAAAAGCAATAATAAATAAAAAAAATACTGAAAATTTCCAAATGAAAATCAAACATTGTTTTTCACTTGTGGTTCAACAGAATTATTAGAAAAAAAAAACAAAATAATGAAACTGGCCTGGACAAAAATTATGGTTCCCTTAACTTCATATTTTGTTGCACAACCTTTTGAAGCAAACTCTGCAAACAAACGATTTCAGTCACTGTCAATGAGACTTCTGCACTGGTCAACAGGTATTTTAACCCATTTCTCATGAGGAAACTGCTCTAGTTGTCTCAGGTTTGAAGGGTTCCTTCTCCAGACGCATGTTTCAGCTGCTTCCACAGATGTTCAGTAGGATTGAGATCTGGGCTCACAGAAGAACACTCCAGAATAGTCCAATGTTTTGTTCTTAACCATTCTTGTGTGTTTTTAACTGAGACTAAGCTTTCTGACACTAGTCAACACATTTCATTCCAAAATATCTTGATAGTTTTGAGATTTTGTTGTACCTTGCAGATTCAAGACAACAAAACAGCCCCAGAACAAAACCAAGCCTTCTCCATGTTTCACAGTAGAGACAGTGTTCTTTTCTTGGTGTGTTTAATTTTTGCGTCTGTGAACATAGAGCTGATGTCTTGCCAAAGAGCTCCAGTTTTGTCTCATCTGTCCAAAGAACATTTTCCCAGAAGCTTTGTGGTTTGTCAGTCTGCATTGTGACAAATTCCAGTTTCACTTTATTATGATTTGTTCTCAGCAGTGGTGTCCTCACATGAAGTCCACTTTGGCTCAAACACTGATGGATGGTGTGATCTGACACTGATGTACTTTGCCCTTCCACTTCACATTTAATTTGTTTGGAGGTTGTTCTGGGCTCTTTGGTTCCATTCGTATGATCCATCTCTTCAATTTGTCATCAATTTTCCTCTTGCGGTCGCATCCAGGGAGGTTGGCTTCAGTCCTGTGGACCTTAAACTTGTGAAGAACATGTGTAACTGTAATCACAGGAACATCAAGCTGCTTGGAGATGATCTTATTGTCTTTATCTTTAACCTGCTTGTCTATCATTTTCTTTCTAGTCTCCTGACACAGTTCTCTTCTTCTCTTTCTCTGGTCCATGTTCAGTGTTGTGTCCATCATGTCTCCAAACAGCACAATGACACATGTCCCCTTTAAACAGACAGACTGACTGAGGACAAGTTTGAAGAACCTGTGATGCAGATTAGAGACACGCTTAAGTTTAACATGTCTCTATTGTCCAGTTACTTACAATCTTTTCTAGGGGTACCATCATTTTTGTCTAGGCCAGTTTCATTATTTTGTTTTTTAAAATAATTCTGTTGAACAACAATTCAAAAGCAGTGTCTGATTTTCATTGGTTATTTTTCAGGAAATTTGTATGTATTATTTATTTCAGTGAAGATTTTTCTTTCATTACCAGCGGAGTACCAACAATTTTGTCCATGACTGTATATATATATATATATATGTGTGCAGAGCAGAGGTACTGGTGGAGGGTCCATCACCTGCTTGTTTCTAAGGAGATATGTTCTCCTGGAATGTTCCACAGTACATTTATTCAATTACAGGTGGTTTTATAGCTCAAAAATACCTAGAAAAAAATTCAGCGTTCTGACTGTGAGCGTGGTCGCCTCTCCCAGGTCTGACTTGGTTGGTTTGCTCTCCATGAAGATTGAAAGGTTTAATGCCACACTGTGAAACTTTCCCGGCAAAGCAATAACATTTCCATGCAGAAAACCATCTAACGGGCCCTCCACCAGAAAAGTTATACAATGCACCTTTAATAAAAAAACAAGTCCACGTGTGCCCGGTAGGAGCTGAAAACAGACATCACATGACTTTTTCTTTTCATATTTCACTGATCAAGAACATAAAATTGAAGTAAGGATACAAGTGCAAGTACAGAAAAGAGGGCATATACCAGTGGCGGTGAAAACAGTTGATCTGCAATATGACATTTTGAAAATAAGCATTTAAAGATTGTTCAGACATGCACAAATCACTCAAATACAGCTTGGAGAGTGTAAATGAGAAGGGGAAACAGCTATAACATGGTTATAAGCTCTGAAAAGTCCATTTTGCAGAATCAGTTTGCTTTAAAAAGAATAAAAAGGGCTGAAAATTGTGTTGATTTTAAATAATTCATAAATTATAATAAATTACAATAAATAAATTAATAAAACATTGTGGTATAATGTTTTAAATGAATGGTGGTTCTGCACTTTACTGCATTATCACCTACCTGTACAAACTTTGAGACACAATTTGAACAAAAGGCCATCTTGTAGAGTTGTCAAAAGTTTCAGTACAGTATTAGTACTTAAAAAGTCACATTCACATGGGAATAGAAAAGTACTATTGATCTACAGTATTTTGTTATGCACTGTTACTGTTACACCCCAAGTGAACCACAACAGCCCCAGATACTTACACTGCACAGTCTGGAGGGGACGTGGCCAGTACAGCTATGCGGCAGCAGCATAACCACATGAACATTCTTGTGGGTTTGGCCCAGGAACCTTTATCCAATCAGAGATAAGCATTACATGTTCAATAGAGACAAGGACCAAAACAAGTCTACATTTCAGAAACTAGTTGTAAAGTGATGCCACTTCCTGGTCCAACTGGCAAATTCACAGTTCTACCTGTCTTGAATTCCTAGACTGTAAACATAAATGGACATATCTAACCATCCATCAACTCTGGCTCCAATTCACTTTGTATAAAAAAAAAAAAAAAAGTCCCTCTCTTTGCTGTCAGGCTCCTCATTTTGGTCTTAAATTATTAAAATGAATTCGCTCTACATGATATTGATGTTTTTGTTTTTTTCCACTATTTTGTCCATAAATCAATTCCTATTCTTAATATGAAACTTGGCTCCAAATTCACTTCTGTAACTGCTAGCCTCAGTGAGCTTCATTCATCTCCTTTAGTCCACTTCCTTATACAGGCTATGCTTGGATCTGAAAGTGACATCACACTTATCACCTCTATAGGTGTTACTGTTACTGTACTATACAATATTTTACTATACTAAACTACATTTTGTTAAATGAACTGTCAGAAAAATACCTTCCTTGCACGTGAATCATCAAAATATTATCTTTGAGTACCATAGCAGTACACCAGTTACTAGCCACTAGCCTTATTTAAAGCTTCTTATGAGCATATTCTATGAGCTGTTCATGTTCAATTCTTTTACTTACAATTTCACATATTTCTGTCTTATTTTAATCATGTCACCAAATTTTAAAGTCACAAGTCAGGCAAACAAGAGTTAAAGGTACTAATATATTCATTTTCACTTTAAGTTTAAAGTTTGTTTGTTTTGTTTGTTTGTTTGTTTTTTACGTTCCATCCCCTGTGTTTTAGGGTTATAGCATTTAAAGAGCCCATATAGGCTATTTTTTGATCCATGTTCTAATGTTGTTTCCTTAATGTAAACATACCTGAAGTTGTGTTTTGTTTGATTCACACACATTTAACACATAAATCTTTTTGTCTTTTGTTTTCTCTAACACATACATCTTGTTCCATTGTGTTTTTAAGCTCCAGACATCTTCAAGAGAATCATTTGAATAATTCCCATCCTGGAATTGCCAATTTCTACTGAAGAAAAGGCAAAAAGTAGCTGTTAACTTGAAAACTACCACTTCGTGACATCACAAGTTGGATCAGAGCATTTTGAACGAAACTACTGCTTCATGGCACTAACTTTGGGTATGTTTTTGATGAGGCAACAATATTCTAACATGGCTTAAATGGCCCATATTACAGATGATTATTTTTTGATCCATGTTCTAATGTTGTTTCCTCATCACAAACACACCTGGAGTTGTGTTTTGTTACATTCACACATGTTTAACACACAAACCCTGAAAATGTAGGCTTAGGTTTGGAAGTATAGGAAGTACTGTGTCTTTAAACTCCATACAATTTCACTAGAATCATTTGGATAACTGCAAGCCTGTAATTGCCGATCTCAACTGAATTAAGTGTAAAAGGAGCTGTTAACCTGAAAACTACCACCTCATAACAGCACAAGGTGGATCAGAGCATTTTCACCTTTGGTGATGTAGACAGAATAATAATGTATGATTACTCACAACATGTGTGAATGAAACAAAACACAACTCCAGGTCTGTTTTTGAGCAGCATTATAACATGGCTTAAAGTTCACAATAGTCAATTTTGCTTAATATAGGTCCTTTAAAGTTCACAAGATTTAATTATACATAATAGGACCTTTAATGTCTAGTTTTTCTCTCACAAATCTCTTGCACATGGACTGTAGACTTCTAAGAACAGACAGTCCGCCCTCCAACCCCTGTCCACGTGCCTTACTTGTCTAACATCCACTGGTCCAGACGGTACCGATGTGACAAGTCGCTGGTTATTGTGGCAATATGCTGTGTTATCTGCTCCTGCGTATGCAAGCCTGGATGGCCCTGTGCCATGAAAACCAGGAGGCGCTCTCTCACATCCACGCTCACATCCTCGTGCACCAGAACCACCACTCTGGCCCCGTTCACCCGGCTCCTGTCTCCTGCCTCTCTCAGCAGTGCCCACAGCTCCTGTTCGTTGGCAGAGTGGATCTCCAGCAGATCCGACCCGGAGAGCAGGGCGGCACAGCGGGCGGTGGATCGACGCCCGGTGCCTGTGTCCGAGGCAATGAGTACTGCGTGAGCTCCGGGTATGAGCAGGGCACGGAAGATGTGTGCCAGCTGCCGCCCTCTCTGCTGGTGCACTGCATATGCACGGAGAAAGCCATAGGGGACGTCACTGTGATCGTCGGAAGTCTTTTTGTCAAGGAAATTTTGGAGGGATTCAGTAAGAACATCAACCGTATACTCTTTGTAAGCAAGTTGCCTTGAGTTGATCCTGTTAGTCTCTGTCTTTAGAAAAGCAGGCAGTTCAGGACTGTATACCACATCTGAATGTCTCACATACTCCAAAATTAGACCTTTTACACCACCCGCAGTTCGAGTTCTTCCGAGAAAGTTTTCTGGACATTCCAACACTTGTGCTTCTTCTAACATGCTCCCAAAATGAGCGGTGGTGATATCAGCCAGAATTTTCTCCATATTTGAACTTTGACATTGTTCACACATTCTATCCATAAATGTGTGCTTGCACTCATGTAGCCACAGTTTTACGATGTTTAGCATGACTGAAGTTGTTTCAGTCAAAGCTGTAGCTCTATTGGGACCATTGCATTGCCAAAGAGTCATTCCTTGGAACACTTTCTGCAAATCGTGAATGGAGAACAGGTATTGCCCGAAATGCTCCTGCAATTCTAAATACAGATTATAAGTAGCAGAGACAATCCAAGACGCCACTTCTGAAGGGTTTGGGAGAAGAGGCTGCATCCATAGCTGCAGGCTGGGGGAGTGCAGAGAGAGTATGACGTTGACAGATAGGGCGGGCAGTGTGAAGGTGGAGAAAAGGCGGGTGAGGCGGGGGGAGAGTGGGGGGCTGTGGGGAGGCGCACAGCTGGAGCACAGGTACGAGATGCCCCTGGTGGTCACGGGCCGGAGGACAGAGGCATCAAACAGGACCACACCTCCTGTTGACATGCTTTCCCGCAGAACTTCTAAAGTGGGAGATATTGTACCAGCTGTATCTGAAAGGACAAGAGAAAGAAAAGATCCAACTTATGGCATTAAACCTAATCTAATGTTTATAGAGAGCCCAGGTGAGTCTGAACTAGGCCAAGGGAGGGGGGAAAATCAAATAATGACAGATGGTAGCTTTAATGACATTCAGCAACCGCAACAATTGCAGCTTATTCACTCTGAAAAATTTATTGCAGTTTCTTTTGCAGTTGCCGTCCTCCTAGATCAGGGGTCACCAAACTATTTTCTCTGGGGGCCACATTATCAGTCCTGACTGTGATGGGTATAACAGACCAAAATGACCACTAGCAGCCCTCATTGTGTAGTAGAAATGACTATCCTGACACAGCAATCCACAATGATATATCAACACAACATTTCTGGCACATATTTGTTTATCGTTACTAGTGGTCCTTAACTAGTCCTTAAATGCCCTACAGTACTCTGTGCGTGCGTGTCACTGTTTGATCTCGAACTTGTCAGGTGACAAAAATTCGGTGGCAAATGTAAATACGTCATATAATTATATCCGTCCGATAGTCCTTCTCCATGGCCTCCCCGAACTCCTCCCAGCTCCGAGTTTTTGCCTCCGCGACCACACGGGCTGCAGCACGCTTGGCCCGCCGGTACCTGTCAGCTGCCTCAGGAGTCCCCCGAGCCAGCAAGGCCCGATAGGACTCCTTCTTCAGCTTGACAGCATCCCTTACTTCCGGTGTCCACCACCGGGTTCTGGGGTTGCCGCCGCGACAGGCACCACAGACCTTACGCCCACAGCTCCGAGCAGCTGCATTGACAATAGAGGCCGAGAATGAAGCCCACTCGGACTCCATATCTCCAGCCTCCCCCGGAATCCGGGAGAAGTCCTCCCGGAGGTGCGAGTTGAAGGTCCCTCTGACAGAGGGCTCCGCCAGACGTTCCCAACAGACCCTCACTACACGCTTGGGCCTGCCAGGTCTTTCCGGCTTCCTCCTCCGCCAGCGAACCCAACTCACGACCAGGTGGTGATCAGTTGACAGCTCAGCCCCTCTCTTCACCCGAGTGTCCAAGACACGCGGCCGGAGATCAGATGACACGACGACAAAGTCGATCATCGACCTCCGGCCTAGGGTGTCCTGGTGCCACGTGCACTTATGGACACCCTTGTGCTCGAACATGGTGTTCGTTATGGACAAACTGTGACTAGCACAGAAGTCCAATAACAAAACACCACTCGGGTTCAGATCGGGGAGGCTGTTCCTCCCAATCACCCCTCTCCAAGTGTCACTGTCGTTGCCCACGTGGGCGTTGAAGTCCCCCAGGAGAACAACGGAGTCCCCGGTCGGTGCACTGTCTAGTACCCCTCCCAAGGACTCCAAGAAGGCCGGGTACTCTGCACTGCTGTTCGGCCCGTAGGCCGACACCACAGTGAGAGACCTGTCCCCGACCCGAAGGCGCAGGGACGCGACCCTCTCGTTCACCGGGGTGAACTCCAACACACAGCGACTGAGCTATGGGGCAATGAGCAGGCCCACACCAGCCCGCCGCCGCTCCCCGCGGCCAACGCCAGAGAAATGGAGAGTCCAGCCCCTCTCAAGGAGTTGGGTTCCAGAGCCCAAACTGTGCGTGGAGGTGAGGCCAACTATATCTAGTCGGTAACGCTCAACCTCCCGCACAAGCTCAGGCTCCTTCCCCCCCAGCGAGGTGACATTCCATGTCCCCAGGGCTAGTCTCTATGTCCGGAGATCCGGTCGCCGAGGCCCCCGCCGTCGACTGCTGCCCAGATCTCTCTGCACCGGCCCCATATGGATCCTCCTGCGGGTGGTGGGCCCACGTGAGGACGGCCCTACGTCGCTCCTTCGGGCTGAGCCCGGCCGAGCCCCGTGGGGGGAGGCTCGGCCACCAGGCACTCGCTGGCGAGCACCAACCCCAGGCCTGGCTCCAGGGTGAGGCCCCGGTGACGCCAATCCGGGCGACGTAACTGGCCTTGCTCGTACACTCATCATAGGGGCTTCTGAACCGTTCTTCGTCTGACCCGTCCCCCCGGACCTGTTTGCCTTGGGTGACCCTACCAGGGGCATGAAGCCCCCGACAACATAGCTCCCGGGATCATTCGGGCACTCAAACCCCTCCACCACGATAAGGTGACGGTTCAAGGAGGGGATACTTTGAGGATCTCCTCAATCCCACCGTCACGTCCTCCGAGGAGGAGGCCGAGGCTGGGGACTCGGAGGCGGACTCATCCATCACCCTGGCCGAAGTCACTGAGGTGGTTGGCAAGCTCCTTGGTGGCAAGGCTCCGGGGGTGGATGAGATCCGTCCTGAGTACCTGAAGTCTCTGGATGTTGTGGGGCTGTCTTGGCTGACACGCCTCTTCAACATCGCGTGGCGGTCGGGGACAGTACCTCTGGACTGGCAACCGGGGTGGTGGTCCCTCTGTATAAGAAGGGGGACCGGAGGGTGTGTTCCAACTATAGGGGGATCACACTTCTCAGCCTTCCCGGTAAGGTCTATGCCAGGGTACTGGAGAGGAGAATCCGGCCGATAGTCGAACTTCGGATCCAGGAAGAGCAGTGTGGTTTTCGTCCTGGCCGTGGAACACTGGACCAGCTCTACACTCTCCATAGGGTGCTCGAGGGTTCATGGGAGTTTGCCCAACCAGTCCACATGTGTTGTGGATCTGGAGAAGGCATTCGACCGTGTCCCTCGTGGTGTCCTGTGGGGGGTGCTCTGGGAGTATGGGGTCCGGGGCCCTTTGCTAAGGGCTGTCCGGTCCCTGTATGACCGGAGCACGAGCTGTGTTCGCATTGCCGGCAGTAAGTCAGACCTGTTCCCGGTGCATGTTGGCATCCGCCAGGGCTGCCCTTTGTCACCGGTTCTGTTCATTGTATTTATGGACAGAATTTCTAGGCGCAGTCAGGGGCCGGAGGGGGTCCGGTTTGGGGACCACAGGATTTCATCTCTGCTGTTTGCGGACGATGTTGTCCTGTTGGCTTCATCGAACCAGGACCTGCAATGTGCACTGGGGCGGTTTGCAGCCGAGTGTGAAGCGGCTGGGATGAAGATCAGCTCTTCCAAGTCCGAGGCCATGGTTCTCGACCGGAAAAAGGTGGCTTGCCCTCTCCGGGTAGGTGGGGAGTCTTTGCCTCAAGTGGAGGAGTTCAAGTATCTCGGGGTCTTGTTCACGAGTGAGGGAAGGACGGAACGTGAGATTGACAGGCGGATCGGTGCAGCTTCGGCAGTGATGCGGTCGCTGTATCGGACCATTGTGGTGAAGAGGGAGCTGAGTCGAAAGGCGAAGCTCTCGATTTACCGGTCAGTCTTCGTTCCTACTCTCACCTATGGTCATGAGCTCTGGGTAGTGACCGAAAGGACGAGATCGCGGATACAAGCGCTCGAAATGAGTTTCCTCCGCAGGGTGGCTGGGCGCTCCCTTAGAGATAGGGTGAGGAGCTCAGTCAGACGGGAGGAGCTCGGTGTAGAGCCGCTGCTCCTCCACGTCGAGAGGAGCCAGTTGAGGTGGCTCGGGCATCTGTTCCGGATGCCTCCTGGGCGTTCCGGGCATGTCCCGCCGGGAGGAGGCCCCGGGGAAGACCCAGGACACGCTGGAGGGACTATGTCTCTCGGCTGGCCTGGGAACGCCTCGGGGTCCCCCCGGAGGAGCTGGAGGACGTGTCTGGGGTGAAGGAAGTCTGGGAGTCCCTGCTTAGGCTGCTCCCCCCGCGACCCGGCCCCGGATAAGCGGACGAAAATGGATGGATGGATGGGATACTTCATATAATTTTTTTTTTTTTTAAATCAATAAAATAGAAGATGCAGACATGTTATTATTTGCCAAAAAGTAATAAAAGAAAATTGGCCATGACAACTTTTGAGGATTGCCTCATAGGGCCAGTTCAAGTGGAGGGGGGCAGAGGGGCTGGAGGGGCCGGTCAAAGGGGTGTGGCGTGCCGGAGTTGACCCGTGGGCCTTAGTTTGATGATCCCTGTCCTAGATTCTCATATTGAAGTAACTAGTGAATTTAAGATGAAAATGCTTTAATCAAGCAAATTGTGAGTACTCTAACAAGTTTTTTTTTCCTTTCTTGAAATATGAGATACCTTGGCTATAAGATATCTCAGTCATGCATAAATTACAGGGCTCTCATCTATGTTATGATCATCAAAAACATAACATATAGTTGTGTTTTGTTTCATTCACACAAGTTAAACAGTTTGAGTTATTTCCTTCAAACAAAAAATACTGTTCCACCTTGTGATGTCATGTGGCAATACAGTTAAGTGCTCCACTGTGTTTTTAAACTCCATACATCTTCTCTAGAATCATTTGGATAATTTCAGCCCTAGAATTGCCAGTCTTTACTGAACTTAAGAGAAAAGGCAGCTGTTAATTTGAAAACTACTGCTTCATGACATCACATGGTGGAACAGAGCATTTTGAGCCTTGGAGATATAGACTAATGATAAAGGGTTATTCAAACGGGCGAACATGGAACAAAACACTCTGGGTATGTTTTTGAGGAGGTAACAACATTCTAACATGATACTAACATAATAAACAGATAAAAAATATGAGATATCATAATATTATATCACTTATATAAAAACAACATCATGAGTATAAGTGAGTATAAGTGGGACTACCCACCAGTGGTTGCTTGGTGTAGATCGTCCACAAACAGCAGCAGGTTGGTTGTGGGCATAATGCTCTGAAACACAGTGATCAGGTCCGATGAGCCCAGGACAGCACTGCCACTCAGACCCACACATGGTCTCCTGAAACTGAGCAAACTCCTGCACATTGTGCTCTTTCCAGAACCGGGTTCCCCCATCAGAAGAACCGGCTGCTTGGACTCCAACATGATGTTCAGAAGGTGTGTATAAACCCCATACTGAGAGACAAGAGAGAAATGATATTGGAATTATTTAGGTCATCAAATTGCTTACATACAAGTTTAAAGGTGCACTATGTATTTTGCCCAATGGAAGGTTTAGATTTGGTTTATACTACACACACTACAAAACTAAACAAAAAAATAAAAAACTAAATACTTCAAGTCCAAACCAAAAAAGAACTAAATGCAGGACAATATGAGCTTTGGTACAAGGGGTATCGAGGGGTCCTCCGCTCTACGACTTCATTTAAAGCCAATTATATCCTTGTTTTTCCTCCTTTGGGGTTTTCCTAGTTTAGAATTACTTAAAAAAGAGCCTGTTTAGTTTTGTTACAGATCGGGTTTAGTTCTGGTGGTGCCCAGAGAAAAAACCTTTAGGAGATACTATCCATTTCTTTATCACACAAATACAGTAAGTTTAAAGGTTGTATGGAGGATTTTTTTTTTGTTTTTTTTGTTTCAAGTTGTCAATGATAGCATTATAGAGGTGCAGTAGCCTTGTAATTATGATGACCAAAAAAAAAGAGAATAAAAATTCATCAACTCTGGACGTGGTGGGGCCAGCTAAACATTTGCCAATAGATAACGACATTGCCTCGTTATCTGTTAGCTGACAGGCTATCAATCAAACTCCCTACGTTTCTAGCGTAACTGACCTGCCTGCGCGCCGCCGGTACGTGGTTTACGTACGCCTGTCACGCAGTCCACAGACGCAAGACGCACAGACGCTGTTTACTCCACCAACGCAACAGTTCTTAGCGGCTTTTTTTGACCTATATCTTCCTCGCAGTTAGCACAAAGTTTGTTGCAATGGCAGACAAGAATCCAGGAGCAGTTAGCCGCAAAAGAAAGTCCGTTTTTGAGGTCGCTGAAAGAAGAAGACAAGGGGAAAAGCAGCGAAGCCAAACTAAGGTGATTCTTGTAGATTCATTCCAGCGATGGCGCGACTGAAGCAGACGCAGGGTCTAAAGACTGACGCATTGGTCGCCAAATTACTCCTGGACAGGTAACTTCTGCTTATTATGAAAACGTACTTTATTTCCAAGAGCTAGTCAAACGTTTTTCAGGACACGAAAGCGATATCCTATGTCTGAAAACGTAATTTTCAAGGCAAAGAAAGAGTCCGCTTGCTGCTGCGTGTTGTAGCTAGTTCATTCGCACTGAATCTCCGCGCAACCTTCTCTGCTCCCCTTTCCTACTCCTGTCCCCGCTGCCCGTTCCGCTCTTCCCCCTTCTCCTCACTTCTACGGGCACGGAATCTCCGCGCACCGCTCCCCTCTCCTCTCTCCTCTCTCCCTGCTCCGCTCTTCTCCCTGCTCCTCACTTCTCGTCCGCGAACGAAATGTCCGCACACCCGCTCCCCCCGCTCCTCACTTCTCCGCCTTGCCTAACCACACTGTAGTTAGTTGTTTACAAGTCATGTGCAGCTCACCGGCTGTAAACAAACCTGTTTCTGGCGTAGTGAGGAGGCGGGAGAAGGCGTTTCTACGTAGGGAGCTGTAGGGGAGGGGGGGTGGTTTCACGCATGCGCAACATTTGAAAAAGGACAAACAGTCGCTGGATTTCTCGTTCCTTGGAAAATCCTCTATACAACCTTTAAGAAAAGTCCATTTTGCATAAGATTTAATGGTGAGAGTGTTCTGTACCTTGGGGGAGATTTTACTGGTGAGTACGGTGGTTTGTAGACACACACGTCTGTCTGAGGTCACAAAGTATTCAAAGACAGACTCTCCTTCAGGAACTTGGATCTGGTACCGGCTATTTACCAGAACTTCACGAACAACGCACTGGAAACGGGGCCACAAACTGGGGATAAAATATAATGTTAGCAGCGGGGTGTTCTGAGTAGTTTTCAGTTTTCTGTCATTTCACTCACAACTGATATTTTCTTTGAATATGATGTATGATGTTTGATATGATGATGTCAAAACAGTTACTCTAACAATTTGTACTTGTATTTCTATTTGTACTGGTAGTATTTTTTTTAAAGATGTTAAATTCTTTACATTCCAGGAATTCCAGGTGCTACAGTGGGGCGCCAGTGGCAAAAAACTGTTGTTGTGTCCTTAGGCAAGACACTTCACCCACATTGCCTAGTATGAAAGTGGTGTGTGCGTGAGTGATGGTGGTGGTCGGAGGGGCCGATGGTGCAGATTGGCAGCCTCGCTTCCGTCAGTCTGCCCCAGGGCAGCTGTGGGTACAATAGTAGCTTACCACCACTGAGTGTGGAGTGACTGAATAATGAACTGTAAAGCACTTTGGGTATCTTGAAAGGCACTATATAAATGCTATCAATCAATCAACATCATACTTCAGTCATTTCTTGAGCCACTACTTCTGCTACTACAGTCATCCCTCGCTATACTGCGAGTCTAGTATATTGCAGTCTCACTGTTTCGTTGATTTTTTTATTATTTTTTATTTTTTTTGTGCAATTTTGAATGCTTTTTTTTTTTTTTTTACAGTGTATGAACATGCATTGCGTTCCTCTCGCTGCATCCTGATTGGCTAAGGGGGGAGTCCTGTCTCCTGTACAGTACAGTACAGAATGCATTCAGCTGCCAAATTTATATAAATATTGCATCTCTAGCAGTGTGATTCTGAAATGCTGTATGTTTGCAAGTTTCCTCCCCGACAAAACCCACAATGTCGACGAAATGTTCTGCACCGACAAAGTCCTGGTTTACTGCTGTTTTAGTCCTGTTTTAGTCCTAGTTCAGTCCTGATTTAGTCCTCCTCTTCAGTCCTGGAATCAGTCCTAGGTTAGTCCTGGGTTAGTCCTGGTTTAGTCTTGGTTCAGTCCGTGACACAGGCAGCACAAAAGTTTGATATAATCTCAGGTTAACAGGTGGGTGTGGTGCTGTACTGTGCGAGTGTGGGTCTCAAAAATGGCCCTGTGCAGGACTCTGCGCTCTAGGGCTCCATTACGGAATAAATTAATCTTCAGTTCATTACATAAAGAAGGGGGAAAATAACAAAAGGACGACAGCAGCAATACGTTTTAAGAAGGATGCAAAAAGGGTTAACTGCCCTGTCTGAGAAAAGTGTATAAAGTGTGTGGTGAGGGGTTTTACAGCCTTAAAATAGATAGAATAATTGTAAAATATAAAGTTGACTACTTCGCAGATTTCACCTATTGTGGGTTATTTTTTAGAATGTAATTCCTGCGATAAACGAGGGACTACTACACAACTATTTGTGGCTACCTACAGTTCCCATGTCTCTGCTTGACCTCCATTTTGTCCTCTGTCTCTATTGGTCTTTACCTGGGATGAAGATGTCCACCAAAGCCCCAGATGTAGGCCATCAAAAAACAGTTCTTTCCTAACATAGTTACATAATTTTCTCCACTGGTCAAGGTTGAGTAGGATCCGTGTGGAGCAATGTCTGGAAATGTAATACATTTAAGTTGGTTAAAGCAGACCCATAGTAACTGTTACCAACATTACAAAGCTGTGTACCTCTGCTGTCAGTCTCTTCTGCATCTCCAGGATCGTGGACATCTAGGCATACTTCAAAGTGTTGGACAAGGGCTTTAAAGATGCGGAAAAAGGATGTGATTTCTTGAAGTCCTTCTGGAGGCCTTCTAGAAGATTCAGTATGGATGGCAGGTGACATACAAGTTTGATATAGTAATTGCAGTGTAGCAGGAAATAGATCTTCAGCCAAATTCTTCCACATTTGTGACACAACATTGTTTAGATCATGTTTTTGGTAGAACTTGTCCATTTCACTCTTCCAAACAGACCTCCATAGCTCAACACCTTTGAAATTGACCAGGCTGTATGCTGTTACGACTGAAGGACTGGCAGTGCTTAGATCACTTAATTCAAGGAGAAACTTTAGATGTTCTTGTGAAGATATGAGGTACTCCCCTGAGGCCAGGCACATGAACGCATCAGGAGAGTGACACAGTGTGGCTATGATGTCCACCCAGCTTGAATCCTCAGCTCGGTTCCTTGGTTCCTCTCCATCCAGCACAAGCCAGTTCACCAGACCTTTTGCATCTCCACAGGTTCTCAGCAAAGTTGTGAGTGCACCATCCTGCCAGCCTCTGTGGTCATAGTCAAAGCCAAGCAGTTCTTCGCAAGACATTGAATTTGGAAACAAAACTACAGGCTTCACAAAAAATCTCGAGGTTAACCCTTGTTTTTCTGATTTGTTGGCCATCAAATTGAGAGCACTAGCCAAAACTGAGTAGCAGCTGGTCTTTCCACTGCCACTAGGACCACTAAGTATCACAGCTTTCCCAGTTTTCAGATGTTGGTAAACTGTAAATGCATTGTTAAGTATTTCCACATCAGGCTGTAAATAGTTTGTTTGTAATACTTCTAAAATTGCATTTTTTACTGCAGACTTTTCGTGTTCTTCAAGGTAATGTTCTAGCGATGGAAACTGGCAAACTACCGGGAATGTGTCCCTGAGAAGTTGTTGGAAGTCTCGGGCTTTGTTCAGCTCGTGAGTCCAAGGAAGGAGGACCAAAAGGATTGATTTGCAGACAGCGTCTTCCTCTATGAAACGCTGCACTGTGAGCATTGCCCCATTGTCTTCTTTTATGTTTCTCTGCTTCCTGGATTGTTCTAAGTATGGTTCGGAAGAGGTAATTATATTTTGTAAGATGAGGAAAAGACAGTTATCATTTGGGGTTTTGCAGCCAGGCAGACACAAGCAGTCCTTTGCAAAAGTGATGAACGAGACCAGACGTTGACTCAGGTACTTGGCATCTACAAAACCCATGGAAGTGAGCATGACTTCGGCGATGAACTTGTAGTCTGGTTGAATTAAGGCGACTGGTCTGGAAGCAGCTCGGAGCTCTTCTGGAAAGTTACGTGTTTGTGCTTTAGATGGAACCATAATGCAGCCATAGTTGTAAAAAGCAGGGACTTGTTTGCCAGCTACAGTGACTTTACACTTAGGATTGAAAGTAAATGTGCTTTTATTTGTTATTTTGGAGAAAGACTCCTGAATTTCAACCAAATACTGCCCTAAAGTTGTAGAAACTTTTTCAGACAGCAAATCTGCAGAGTCTAGCACAAGCCAGGCACCAGTCTGAAGGGAACCAAGCAACAAATTCTCCACTGTAACATGTCGAATGCTTGGTTGACACTTTAATATGAAAACCATTCTTCCCAAAGCCATCGCTAGCTGTATAATGACATTTGTTTTCTTGCAAGGACCATTAACAAGGCCACACCTGAAGTTTGTTAGAGCTAAAACAATTCCCAATTTAGCACATTCTGTGGAAGGCGTATGTGGAATAATCCTGTCTGCTGACCCAACATACTCATGACCATATTGCAGTCGATGGTTCAAGACATCAACGAAACACAGAGGCTCATGGGTACTTATGTGGTATTTGAACAAACTTAGCCACTCAAAGGAGGAATGAAGTGGCCCTTGTACACTCTGGAGCTGGGTTAACATCTGTGTGTGATTCATTGTCATCTGGACCAATGCCCGGAGGAAATGGCACGCACAGGCTAACGTCACACTGCTGACTTTCTGTAGCATTTCTCTATCCCGTATGATACGCCCAAGCTCTGCCACTCTGCTTCTCAGGTAGAATTCAATTTTTTTGATTTTCACAGGATTTGGGAAAGTGTCCTCAACAACGCTGCACCACTTGGCCTCTTCCGCCACCTCCAGGCACTGACTGGGATGTGTTGCCAGCAATCCTAGCATGATTTTAATCTGTTTAGCGATATCATTAGAAAGCTTTGTGTCTACCAATCGTCCGTCATCAGACATAACTTCCTCAGGAGGTCCAAGCTGTTCCTTAACAATGGAACACTTTCTCATACATTCTACCATGGTCAAGTGAAGCTTCTTTTCAAAGTCAGATAGCCAATCCGTAGGGTTGAGACAAGGTTCTACTGGAGATACAAATGTAAGGCGTTCTTGGAGATGACTTAGAACTCCCAGTGTGGCTTGGCTATTGAAACTAGTATCAATATCTCTACATTCAAGCTCCTGTACCCCTCTAAAAAGCTTGCAAATAATGGGGAGCATGGAGGACGGGCTAGGGGGTGTGGACAATACCAAGATGAGTTCTCTGTCACTCAGGAACCACAGACGGGAACACTGGCTGCGGACGGAATCCAAGAGCTGCACGGCCTGGTTGGTAATGATGTCCATCGTAGACAGTCCTGAAGTGAGAGACTTGAAAAGGTCATCACCAGGGAGGCTCTGGGCGCGGTGGTTTGAAACGAGACTCATAACATGAGGGTCCCTGGAGATATGAGCCATAATTTTCAGAAATTTTGAATCCACTGGTTTGAACAGCGTCAGCTATGGAAAAATTACAATTCATAAATTAGAGATGAACAATTCAACTTTATAACTGTGTTTTTTCACACATTGTCTTTGCATGGTGTGGTATTATTTTAAAGTAAAGCAAAACATTCTCCCCTTTAGTACTGCAGGAATCACATACATTTCAGAACATGTTTGTAAGTCCTAAACCACAGTCTTTGCGACTTAATTTTTGCAACCTCAGTCTATATTAAATTTTGTTGCAATTACTTAAAGAAAAGGTCAAATACATACCAATTCAGTGTGTAAGATGCTCATAGATGAAGTTTTTAACAGTATGGTCAAATATGTCCACATTTGCTGAAACCGTTTAAGAAGATAAAGGATATTTTCTGTGGAGAAAAAAAAATATATATATTTATAACATATATATATATATATATATATATATATATATATATATATATATATATATATATATATATATATATATATATATATATATATATATATATATATATATATATATATATATATATATATATATATATCAAATCTCTTCTTTAAGTGGGCTTACCAAGATCATGCAGTAACTGCAGCCAGTGGTTCAACTCTGCTCTGAAGTCCTCACTATACAGGGACTTAAACATGTTGGATAAAATGGCCAAATCAAAGTGAATCTGTGCAAGGTGGACTTCAATATCTGGATCAAAAAAGACAAAACTATCAAGGACAAGGGACAAAAGCCATATTGTGGAACAATAACATGGACAAAAGCACAGGTGGAGTGCCCTCTATCAGGGCAAATTACGAGTCAGGTCTATGGAGAAACAAGCCTGCTCAATTAACAAATGCATGTTCTGTGCTTTTATGCAGTTTGGGGCTTTAATGATTAATGTCTCTGTAACTATCCAGAGCCTATCATTTTGTCCATAGACTCAGAACGTTGCAGCAGGTATTGTGTTTGAGTAGAGTACTACAGTCAGATGTCTGTTACTATTGGTTACCATGTTAGTGATACCTCTTGTCTTCTTTAAATGTCATTTGTTTTTCTAATTGAGATAAAAGAAATAAAAGGGCCCGTATTTGATGTATTTAAGCAAAATTTTAGCAAATACAGATATATTTGAGGTCAGAATAACTGCTGTGTCCTCTGTCTGCCTGCCTCTAATTAGCAAGCATTTTACTGTTAGGAAGTGCACATTAGCATGCTAGTTGTTGTTAGCTTTAATGGCCTCGGAAAGTTGTGAAAAGTGCTTATAAAGTCATCAGGGTGAATAATTAGGATGGGATAACTGCAAACTGTTTAAAATGAACTAGCTCTGTTTTTCATATTTTAAGACAGTAAAAATCAGGTTCAGCGCCCTTAAGTTAAAACGCTGACAGTCTCACCCATGACTGTCCAGGTGTGCTCCTCTCTGGACCCTCCCTCCCCCTGTGGTTTTGCAGAGGAGACTGGGAAAGGTGACAGCGTGAGAAGTTTTTCAGACCATTGCTTTTGGAGCTTTTGGAAATCACACTCCATGTTGTGCTCTGCCTTGGCATCCCGGAAAATCTGCAAATGACAATCTATCCATTTATTACGTTCATGATCAAACAGAATCCGTAATAATAATGCACTGTATGAAATCTGAAGGTAAAATTTAGATATGCACAATGAAAAACAATTATATTGTTTATATAAAGCCTTTGTCACTTACCCCAGACTTATGCCTGAGTAAGAGTACTCTCAACTTTAAAATGAATTAGACGTAACAGTATGGAGTAATAAAACAAAATGTTAAAGTGTTCAATTTCCCCAAAAGGTGTCTCAAGTGTGCACTGATGCTGTTGTGCAGAGGATGTCTCACTCTACAAGGGACTGTTGCAACATTTTGCACTTCCTGGTACTTTTTTAGTTCCAGTCCCCTTTTGATGCCCATACATACAGTAGGAACTAGGCACCAGGGTCACACTTTGGGTATTTTTTTTAGCTCCTGTGGGACTGGTACTTTTCAGTCAGACTGGGAACCTTTTGGTAACACAAATACAATGCTTTTGTTTAGAAAAAAATTACACTCTTACAAAAACTGCATTCGTCCACAAACGTTTAATGTAAAGCCTAATGACTATAATGTATCACTCACTATGGAACTGTGGGTGTTTAAGGAGCATCTGAGAACAAAACTTCTCAATGACAGAATCTGATCAGTCCGGTAGTCATGACTGAACCACCAACCAGCCAGTCTGAGGACACATCAAACAGAAGTTGTTCTGCTAGTGAAAGACATCTCACCTTCTTAAGGACAGACTGGTGTTGTTCTTGTCTTTGGGACAACAGTTGCTCTACAGTCAAATTGTGCTCTTTAACATGACTCAGACCAATGCCTGCCAAAAGAAAAACATTCTAGACAGTGCAGTGTTTGTACTGGATCATGCAGAAAGGAACACCATAACAGTTTAACCTAATTTTTCCCATGTTTTTGAGTCTTGCAGAACAGATATATCGATTCCAGTTCAGACTTTGGTTATATGCAACATTTTGAAAACATTCTCATTCATATATATTTTGCTTTAAATTGTTAATCACTATGGCAACAGCTCTAAGCAGAAAATTGTGAAAAGAGCTTATAAAAATGCATAATTGCGCAGAATGAATCAGTAAATGAAGAATCATCTTAGATCACTGCAAATTGTTTAAAATGAAATACTTTGTTTTTTCACAGCGCCTTTACATCCACCATCTGTTGCACAATTTGTGTGTTAAACATGTGGGAATGAAATAAAACACAACTCCAGGTATGTTTGTGATAAGGAAACTACATTAGAACATAGACCAGAAAATTGTGTAGTATGGGCCCTTTAAATATGTCCAGGTAACAACTGTAAAAATGCACCATCCATATTTGTTTGTAGTCAAATCGGGTTCTCTAGGGGAGTTTTCTGATTTGCTCACTTCATTTTTACCACCCATATGTCCTATGGAGCAGGTACAATGACTTTGGCTAATAGCTCTGCATTAATGAAGTCTGTGCAATCAAAAGAAAAAAAACACTCACACACACACACACACACACACACACCTCTAAGAATGGCCCTCCAGTGCTTGTGTTTGAGGCAGGACTCTTTCAGTTGGCTCAGGACCTCCAGCTGGTGGTGCTGTTGCTGCAGCTCACTCAGGGCCCTTTGTAAAACTGCATCATCCAGGGGTATCTGACTGCTGACACACTGGACTCTCTGGCTCCGCTCCTCCAGCTCCCCTTTGGCTCGAACCACATCCATCTAGACAACAAGAGGGCATCAAGACCACTTACAACACACTTCATGAAAATACACTGCAATATGGCTGTAATAAATGAGCAGATGATAGACTCTAGAGGCTGAATACAAAGAATACTATAGAATATCAGTATAATTCACATTTTCATGGTGTGATCTAAAACTTGAATACACACTAAATTACATTTGCTTTTTCATTGACATTGGTGACTTATGTGGATATGGGAACATTTTACAGTTAGGGATAACCACACTTTATTATTTTTTTTTCAGTCTAACCTCTATCTGTGTAATCTTTATTTTGATTAAAGACGGGGTATAATCAACTTTTATGAGCTTTCTACAATGCTATAATGCTGTTCCTTCATCAAGAACATGTCTGAAGAGGTTTTAGATGTCATCCATTCCTGTTTGAGTCATCTTGTGATCTGTCCTAGCCCCTAGCCCACTCATATGTAATTTGGTATATTATATACACAAAATAAATGGTCATATTTTTCCACACTGCTTCAAGACACTCGGTGCTTTACTATAACCACTCACCCATTCACACACATATAACATTCACAAACCAGGGTACATAGACACTGGGGGTGAGGGGGATTAAGTGTCTTGCCCAAGGACACAACAACAGCATTCATCTGTGGGAGCTGGACCTGTAGTTCTGACCACTCAACCGATGTTGTTTATGTCGCGAGTGATTTGACCACCAAGTACCACACTGTCACTCACTGGTTAAATCTATGGCTTTTGAGCAGAAGGACGAGTCAACATTTAAACATTCTTACTGATTGTACTATAGATGTATTGTGTAGATGTAGATGTATTGTGTAGATGTAGATGTATTGTGTAGATGTAGTGTGTAAATGTATTGTGTAGATGTAGTGTGTAAATGTAAATGTATTGTGTAGATGTAGATGTGTTGTGTAGATGTATTGTGTAGATATGTTGTGTAGATGTAAATGTATTGTGTAGATGTAGATGTGTTGTGTATATGTAGATGTGTTGTGTAGATGTAGACGTGTTGTGTAGATGTAGATGTATTGTGTAGATGTAGATGTGTTGTGTAGATGTTTTGTGTAGATGTAGATGTGTTGTGTAGATGTAGATGTAGATGTGTTGTGTAGATGTAGATGTATTGTGTAGATGTAGTGTGTAAATGTATTGTGTAGATGTATTGTGTAGATGTAAATGTATTGTGTAGATGTAGATGTGTTGTGTAGATGTATTGTGTAGATATGTTGTGTAGATGTAAATGTATTGTGTAGATGTGTTGTGTAGATGTAGATGTGTTGTGTAGATGTAGATGTTTTGTGTAGATGTAGATGTGTTGTGTAGATGTAGATGTGTTAGATGTAGATTGTGTAGATGTAGATGTTGTGTAGATGTAGATGTGTTGTGTAGATGTAGATGTGTTGTGTAGATGTAGATGTATTGTGTAGATGTATTGTGTAGATGTAGATGTGTTGTGTAGATGTAGATGTGTTGTGTAGATGTAGATGTATTGTGTAGATGTAGATGTGTTGTGTAGATGTGTAGTGTAGATGTAGATGTTTTGTGTAGATGTATTGTGTAGATGTAGATGTGTTGTGTAGATGTAGATGTGTTGTGTAGATGTAGATGTGTGTTGTGTAGATGTAGATGTTTTGTGTAGATGTAGATGTATTGTGTAGATGTAGATGTAGATGTGTTGTGTAGATGTAGATGTGTTGTGTAGATGTAGATGTTTTGTGTAGATGTAGATGTGTTGTGTAGATGTAGATGTGTTGTGTAGATGTAGATGTGTTGTGTAGATGTAGATGTTTTGTGTAGATGTAGATGTGTTGTGTAGATGTAGATGTGTTGTGTAGATGTATTGTGTAGTATGTGTAGATGTATTGTGTAGATGTAGATGTGTTGTGTAGATGTAGATGTATGTGTAGATGTAGATGTGTTGTGTAGATGTTTGTGTAGATGTGTATTGTGTAGATGTAGATGTGTTGTGTAGATGTAGATGTGTGTGTAGATGTAGATGTGTTGTGTAGTATGATGTGTAGATGTAAATGTATTGTGTAGATGTAGATGTGTTGTGTAGATGTAGATGTGTTGTGTAGATGTAGATGTTTTGTGTAGATGTAGATGTATTGTGTAGATGTAGATGTGTTGTGTAGATGTAGATGTGTTGTGTAGATGTAGATGTATTATGTAGATGTAAATGTATTGTGTAGATGTAGATGTGTTGTGTAGATGTAGATGTGTTGTGTAGATGTAGATGTTTTGTGTAGATGTAGATGTGTTGTGTAGATGTAGATGTTTTGTGTAGATGTAGATGTTTTGTGTAGATGTAGATGTGTTGTGTAGATGTAGATGTCTTGTGTAGATAGATGTATTGTGTAGATGTAAATGTATTGTGTAGATGTAGATGTATTGTGTAGATGTAGATGTGTTGTGTAGATGTCTTGTGTAGATGTAGATGTCTTGTGTAGATGTAGATGTGTTGTGTAGATGTAGATGTATTGTGTAGATGTAGATGTGTTGTGTAGATGTAGATGTGTTGTGTAGATGTAGATGTTTTGTGTAGATGTAGATGTGTTGTGTAGATGTATTGTGTAGATGTAGATGTATTGTGTAGATGTAGATGTGTTGTGTAGATGTTTTGTGTAGATGTAGATGTGTTGTGTAGATGTAGATGTAGATGTGTTGTGTAGATGTAGATGTATTGTGTAGATGTAGTGTGTAAATGTATTGTGTAGATGTAGATGTTGTGTAGATGTAAATGTATGTGTTGTGTAGATGTAGATGTGTTGTGTAGATGTATTGTGTGTAGATGTATGTTGTGTAGATGTAGATGTATTGTGTAGATGTAGATGTGTTGTGTAGATGTAGATGTGTTGTGTAGATGTAGATGTTGTTGTGTAGATGTGTGTAGATGTGTTGTGTAGATGTATTGTGTAGATGTAAATGTATTGTGTAGATGTAGATGTGTTGTGTAGATGTAGATGTGTTGTGTAGATGTAGATGTATTGTGTAGATGTATTGTGTAGATGTAGATGTGTTGTGTAGATGTAGATGTGTTGTGTAGATGTAGATGTATTGTGTAGATGTAGATGTGTTGTGTAGATGTGTTGTGTAGATGTAGATGTTTTGTGTAGATGATGTATGTGTGTGTAGATGTAGATGTGTTGTGTAGATGTAGATGTGTTGTGTAGATGTAGATGTGTTGTGTAGATGTAGATGTTTGTGTAGATGTAGATGTATTGTGTAGATGTAGATGTGTTGTGTAGATGTAGATGTGTTGTGTAGATGTAGATGTTGTGTAGATGTATTGTGTAGATGTAGATGTGTTGTGTAGATGTAGATGTGTTGTGTAGATGTAGATGTTTTGTGTAGATGTAGATGTGTTGTGTAGATGTAGATGTGTTGTGTAGATGTAGATGTTGTGTAGATGTAGATGTATTGTGTAGATGTAGATGTGTTGTGTAGATGTAGATGTATTGTGTAGATGTAGTTGTGTTGTGTAGATGTAGATGTGTTGTGTAGATGTAGATGTATTGTGTAGATGTAGATGTAGATGTGTTGTGTAGATGTAGATGTGTTGTGTAGATGTAGATGTGTTGTGTAGATGTATTGTGTAGATGTAAATGTATTGTGTAGATGTAGATGTGTTGTGTAGATGTAGATGTGTTGTGTAGATGTAGATGTTTTGTGTAGATGTAGATGTATTGTGTAGATGTAGATGTGTTGTGTAGATGTAGATGTGTTGTGTAGATGTAGATGTATGTATGTAGATGTAAGATGTATTGTGTAGATGTAGATGTGTTGTGTAGATGTAGATGTGTTGTGTAGATGTAGATGTCTTTGTGTAGATGTAGATGTGTTGTGTAGATGTAGATGTTTTGTGTAGATGTAGATGTTTTGTGTAGATGTGTAGATGTGTTGTGTAGATGTAGATGTGTGTTGATGTAGATGTAGATGTATTGTGTAGATGTGTAAGATGTATTGTGTAGATGTAGATGTAGATGTGTTGTGTAGATGTAGATGTGTTGTGTGATGTAGATGTCTTGTGTAGATGTAGATGTCTGTTGTGTAGATGTAGATGTGTTGTGTAGATGTAGATGTATGTGATGTAGATGTAGATGTAGATGTGTTGTGTAGATGTAGATGTGTTGTGTAGATGTAGATGTTTTGTGTAGATGTAGATGTAGTGTTGTGTAGATGTATTGTGTAGATGTAAGATGTATTGTGTAGATGTAGATGTGTTGTGTAGATGTAGATGTGTTGTGTAGATGTAGATGTGTTGTGTAGATGTAGATGTGTTGTGTAGATGTAGATGTGTTGTGTAGATGTAGATGTATGTGTAGAGATGTGTTGTGTGTAGATGTAGATGTGTTGTGTAGATGTAGATGTATTGTGTAGATGTAGATGTGTTGTGTAGATGTAGATGATGTATTGTGTAGATGTAGATGTGTTGTGTAGATGTATTGTGTAGATGTAGATGATTGTGTAGATGTAGTGTGATGTGTTGTGTAGATGTAGATGTAGATTGTTGTGTAGATGTAGATGTGTTGTGTAGATGTAGATGTGTTGTGTAGATGTAGATGTTTTGTGTAGATGTAGATGTATTGTGTAGATGTAGATGTGTTTGTGTAGATGTAGATGTATTGTGTAGATGTAAATGTATTGTGTAGATGTAGATGTGTTGTGTAGATGTAGATGTGTTGTGTAGATGTAGATGTATTGTGTAGATGTAAATGTATTGTGTATATGTAGATGTGTTGTGTAGATGTGTTGTGTAGATGTAGATGTTTTGTGTAGATGTAGATGTATTGTGTACATGTAGATGTATTGTGTAGATGTAGATGTGTTGTGTAGATGTAGATGTGTGATAGATTGTTGTGTAGATGTAGATGTGTTGTGTAGATGTAGATGTGTTGTGTAGATGTAGATGTGTTGTGTAGATGTAGATGTATTGTGTAGATGTAGTGTGTAAATGTATTGTGTAGATGTATTGTGTAGATGTAAAT